TTTATTTAATTGAAAGTAAAAGTGAAACATGCCAAGCTTGAGGTGTAATAACGACTAATAAAAAAAATTAATTTAGTTATTTTCTGAATATTTCAATTCTGCATGTTCCAGTATTCTTTCTTCATTGGCCATGGGATTCTTTCTGATAAGGGCGGGCACGTGTAGTCTATTTTGCTGGGTGTTTGAATCCCCTTTAAATGCAGTTGTAATAAGTAGGCAAGTAATGAACAAGTTATTTTTTATCGAAAACCGTTGGCATATTAATAGGTGACATATATATTAAACTAGTCTCCTTCTGCCAAATTTTTTAACAACTTTTGTACTTTAGTGTAGCAAAAACACTATTTATTTCCCCATTTCGCTTAATAATATTAGTTAAAATTTTTGGTTATAAAAGATAAAAAAAATATCATTTAAAGCAAAAGAAAAAACAAAAAAAAAATAGAAATAAAAAAAAAATACCACAAATTAACGACATATAACTAAAGAAAAAATTAAATATGGTAAGTTTTTAACGCCACTTTTCTTGAAGGCAAAAGTTCCCACATCTTTAAGGCTGAATAACCAAAGTGCCATAACGAAATTTTAAAATACTGGGGGGAGCGGGGGGGGTCGGTAACTAAAGTTTTGAAAATCAGTACACTTATTACTCAATGTGATTACTAAGTAACAGGACTTAAATATATATTATTTTGAACTGAGTAACATGGAAAATGATTTATATGAAAATGTCTCGTAATCAGTCAACATCACATATAATAGAGTCTTCTAATACTTTCCTTTCTAATCATTATTTTATTTTCAGTGTAATTATACTTAATTTGTATCCACACGCACTTTTAATAAACTGCTACCTCTAGGTTAAAGTTAAATATTTAAAAAAAAATTATATTAAGATATTAAGATTTTTTTTAAATGTAAAAATATATCTAACATGTACTCTTGGTTTATCCGAATTTTTTAGGGAATTAACGTGAATAGTAAAATTATGATTTACTTAGTTGTAAAGTAACTTAAATTTTTTATTATCAGAGTTAATTTTCTATTGTTAAAACATATTGTAGCAGGGTCTATATATATTATAATAGCTTTTTGAATTTTACAAAATTTATAATTTAAAAGTATGTCATATATACACACTTACTATTTCGCTGGTATTGGTAAGTTGCGAACAAACCGCCCGTAAAAACTGCAACAACTGTTGGTACTGCGTATGCTACAAGATTCATGGCTATGCATACACTGTTAGTTACTCTTAAAAATTAGTAATTAGCATAATTTTATGGTTGGTGCGGACGAAATTTACTCTACAGATTCCTTCCATAATTAGTAAGTCAATGATAAAAGTTTGTATCTCTGCTATAAACTGGATCCTAAAAACCGTGTAACTTTTAAAAGGACAATTTTGGGCCAAATAGTAAGAAAGGCTGTTAATAGATACTTCAAAAGCTGGTGACTTCGTGCTTTCCAGTCAAGGTTTTTTCTAACCCAGGAGCAAGCTTGTTAAGTACAATAAAGTTATATACTTCCTTATTTTTAAACTAGTTTTAAACTTCATTTGTCCTTGCCTAAAACTGGCAATTTTTAAACAAATTAGGTGCATAATTCAATTTTTACTCAAAGAAACTATGTTTAATAAGCCTTAAATAGAAAAACGATGCTGATTGTTTATTATAATAAAAAGACTTTAAAAAATGGTCGGAAGAGAGCACCACTCTTATCATATTGACTCTCGGGCCATAACTACCCCAGTTACGCAGGGCAGTAAATGATATAAAATTTTAACAAATTAATTTCTCACCAACCACTTATATCATGGTTTAAAAAAATTTACCAATCGACAAAAAAGATGAATCTAAAGTGTCAGTGATTAATGAAACTCTTGGAATTTTGCATTGTTATTTTTTGTTTATATTTGTAAAGTATATATATATAGATCCGTAGTAATAAAGGGGTAACAGGTTTTTCCTTGTTTGTCGTTTTTATTTATACCAGTAGTGGCACATGAAGCCGATTTTAGTACACCTGAGAAAAAGCCAAAGAGATGCTCGTACTTCATTTAGCATGTCAGTCATGATCTGCACTTTCATTTCTAAGGCGCTGCTGTGAACAAAATCAGCTCTATTTCAACGTGTCTGTAAAAAGAGGGTTTAGCTTTAATCTATCATTCAGCCATTGTGAAGCAGGGCCTGACTAATAAAGACCGGTGCTGGCGCAAAAGATTTTCATGAGAAACTTAGACAGACTTTTTGAAAATGACTGAGCATATTAAAATTTAATCGTTTTCGCTATGTGTGCTGGTTGATAGTCTTAACGCGCGTGGGTTGTGTTTACTTCTCATACAAATATTTGGATGCTGTGCCAAGCAAATTGTTTACTATGGAAGTTTAAACTAAGGAAACGGGCGTCGCTTTGCAGCAGTGCATCCAAGCCAGCTTTGGCAGCGGTTATCAGGGAGGCTTGTAGACTGAGGTCACAAAGATTAGTTTCTAGCTAGTCAAGCTAAGGCGGTATTCACAGCACGCATGCTTTTAGGTTTAAAGGCGATCTAATAGTAAGGTAGGAGCAATGTTCACGCTTTTAACAAAGAACATAAGTCGCGCACCATCTTTAGGAGCGTTCCTCACAATGCAATTTTTATCTTTACGTGACCATCAGCCCCAGTAGCTAGTTTTTATTGTATTATACGCCTTTAACAAATTCCCTGCAAAATCCCAGGTGATCCATCTTGTCGGTTCTAACAACCATTTCTTGTCTCCGCCTTTCAGAATACCTAGACTACGATTTGGGATTCCAAGTTTAGAAAGGCAATAGATGTTATGATGTTGATGTTGAGCTATCGATCCATTAGGTTGTCATAAGGGCCTTTTCAAATAGAGGCAAACTTTAATTATTCCGTGCGTTCTTGGCGTGGTCTTTAGGGAAGGCCAGCACAGTCAGCACTTAGATCGGGCGAGAATCACCAAGAATTTTTTTTTTCATACAAGATGGTACTTTGCCCTTACACGCAAGTAGCCCTGAACTGTAATAATAGAGCTATATACTCTTCCTGATCGCACTATAGCGCTCTCTCGGTAGTGCTATTAGAGCCCATAAGGCCCTGTACCTCAACCATAAGTTGGCAGGCACGAGCTAATACGTTTTACACTTGTGTAGTCAAACGGAGGCTTTAGGTTTTGTCAACCCTCGTAATGAAGCGCCATCTTCATTTTGTTCTTAATTGTACTGTTTCAACTTTAAGCTGTACTGTACTTTTTTTATAATTCAGTTTTACTAATAGCTATTCTATTCATATTTCCTTTAATAGCTTTATCTACTGATCTAAAGCTTACTATTGTTGTTTATATATTCAAAGAATATATAAAATTTGATTTATGTTCACATAACACTTAACTCGATATTTCGGCGTTGTATCAGCTTCGTTAAACATAGTTTTTTGGGTTATAATAAATGTTACCTCATAGCACTCGCCGGCTGGTACCGCTAGTAGAATTATTTTAGGACTTAAAACTGTGTTTACAATAAAAAGTTTTAATTCTTCAATCGTTTCGGTAGTGATATAATATTTGTGGTTCGACTAAAAAAATTGGGCACCGCAGTTTTTTAATTCGTTAATCATGAACGCAATAGAATATACATTGCAATCTTCGTAAAATATAATTTGTCATATATCTCGTCCATGAGGGGCTTTTGTTACAGAGCATGCAGGTTAGAAAGTCCTTTTTCAGCTCATGAGATATTAGACTTGAGGCATTAACCTAAACACCATAAACTATTAAATAAAAATGGAAAATTGAGTCTTCTATGTCTAACGTAACCTGAAAGAATATACCCAGAAACACAACGACAAGCCTTTTATTTCGTAAAGGATTGGATTGGGTAGATAAGTTAAGTATGGATACTGCCCAAATTAAATTTTAATCTGTTTAACTAAGATAAAAGCCTTTTACATCGATTATAATAAAATTTTAGACCGTTACCGCTACGGGAGGCTAGCTACTACTTCACCTGCCTTCCGCATTATTGCCCTACAAACCAAAAGCAATATTCCTGACTAGCCTTTTAACGATCAAGTACACTTTTTATCAGCCTTTTAGACCAAAAAAAATGAATGTTAAAAACAAACTAATTAATTTTTAGAACGGTAGCATTGGATAATGTAGGAATAAGAAAATAAGACTCACAGTTGAAGAACAAAACCTGCTATTATGTTTGAAAAGAAGGCTTTATATATATATAGGTTTGGTTGATCTAAATTAATTAACCATATACTAGGTCAGAGTATCTGTACCTATGAAATGAACTGTAACAACATGAATTTATGAGTGGTGGGTTGTGCTTTGCGAAGTTATGCAATTTGCATAAGATCCCCGAATTCTTTAAAGAAATTTTGTACTGCACATGGGTCAGATTATCAACAACTACTAGTTTAAATTGCTTTACACCCTTATTTAATAGAGTATAAGCCATTAGTGAAAGTACGAATGCTTCTTCAAATTATACAAATTGGTTTTAATACGTTTTAATACAAACGATAAACAACTGGATTATTTTATAAGGGGGAGGAGAAATGACACAACAATCTCTTTATTTTTTTAAAAGTATCCTGGTTACAACCCAGAATATAATCGGTAATTTAAATTATGGTTCAGTAGTATGCAAAGGTAAGGCTGACTAAAGATCCAAATACACCAGCTCTTATTGCCACCTCAAAAAAAGTATAATAAGCAAAAAAAAATTCTATTTTATTTTTTCCGGGCCTCTATTGGCCTGTTTCAATTGTATACAATTTTTTAATATTTCTTGATAAGTACTATTAGTATGCTTAAAAGTTGTAAGATCCTCGCCAATCTAACACTTATTGAAGTCACTACACATAATATACCAAAAAAAAATTGCAAATTTAAACATTTTTTATTGTGCCTGAGATTTTAAGTTTGAGTAGTTGAAAGTCTTTTGTTGTCTCGATTGAGCACAGTAAAGTTCAACTTGTTAAATGAATGACAACCGCTGGTTGGCGTAGCGTTCGGATGTCTCAATTCAATCTATTGCTTGCGTTTCCATTGTTTTGTAGTGTAATAATTCCGCGCTCAATTGCATCTTCGGGAAATGAAGACTTTAGGTACCAATACTGTACGGAGCAATGTTCCCTAAACTTGTGTTCTAATTCGAAAGGACATTTAACTGTAATCTTAGTAAGAGAGTGTCACCGAAGTAAACAACCATACCTTAATCTTTTAGGCTTTGAATAGGTTAAATTTTTTAACCTGGACTTGCAAAGAAAATTGTCAATATGACTGTATGATGAAAGTCACTGAGGAGGACATAAAAAGTTGCTATAAAGTTTAAAATAACTTTGAGTTGCTATCATATATCATACTTTTTACTCTGCAACGCTTATACTTCATAGGTAATAAAAAGATTAAACAGTTTCATGGAAGGTGGCCTTTCAAAAGGATTTTCGGCATACAGGTAACCACTTGGTTATTTCAAAGATATTGACAATAGAAGCTTAACTCTAATAAACATCCTTTAGGATCCTGCGTCTACCTTATTTTCTCTATTAAACCTTTTTGCACACTTACTAGGTTGGAGAAATTACTCTAAGCAAGTTAATAAGTAAAGCAGATTTTAAAATTTTGTTGGTTATTTAGTCAAACTTTACTTTAACAAAGTAACCCCTTAAGAAAGCTTTGGAAGTATTGGTTCTTACTTAGTTGCAACGCATGGGTGTGGTCAGCTATATTTCATGCTAAAGATACTGCAATCACCGAAAAACTAGTAGTTTTTCTCACTTGTTATTAAGAAAAAAGTAATATTACTTTTACAATAAGGATTATTTTAGTGCCTTTGCGGTGGTAATGTTTTTTACTTACGCCACCATTTTAAGGTTCGCATAAGAAAATAATTTATGCTGCCGCACTAAGGATTTTTTACATCTACAAGGCTCGTAGGGAGGCTAAGAGGAAAGATAAGAAAGCCGGCTGCAGTCATTCTGCTCCCTTTTTTTGTCTTCCACGTCGCTTACCTCTCACTCAGCGAGCGTTTTCAGTACGCGTACCACATGATCGTGAGCTTCAGTTTTGGAAGTCTCCTTTCGTTACTGTCTTATCCTGAACTCTCTCCAATCTAACTTTATTTGTCTATACTATATAAGTTACGAGCTCGATATTATGGATTCTTTGGGGCTGTTATATGATTTACCAATATAAAACAAACTACGCCTATAAATGCCTTTTGCCCATTTTCGCTACAGGTTTTCAATTCCATTAATATCAAGTAAATTATTATAATTAATAATCTCTTCTCTTCTAATAAAGGATTATTGTCGCTCTTAGAAGTTTGGGATTTCCCTCCTTTCTTTTTTTTGATCGATGCACACTCACTATGGCACTTGGGAACTGTTTTCGTTCAGCCCTTATGGTTTCTATTCTTGCAGCGTAACAAGTTACTTAAACTAATTCAAATTTAAGGTATGATTTTTTAGTCGAAGATGCTATATACAATAAATGCAATTAAAGCTTAACCGCCAAGAATAAAGATAAAGAATTAAACAGATTTATATAACCGAACTACTAAAAGCAAAGCTTTAGGACATGTATTTATATATTAAACTGCCGCGATGTCTGCCCTACGCCGGAGTGGCCTCTTCTATACGGTCCAGTGAAAAGCAACGCTGAGTGAAACAAAGCTCGTCAGGGGGGAGGCGTCTATCCTTCCGCTGCGATTGTCAGCCAAACCACGTGGAGATAGTCAGAGGAACATACGGCAAACTCCCTCTCACTTTGTGATGCCGTCCTGAGAGAGTCCGCTTATTTCAGCTTGAGACAACTGAGTCTGCGTTTCGTATGAGCGCTCCTGAGTAAACTGAGTCAGCTGGCTCAATTGGCTTTGACAGAGTTGAGAGGACAAAGTCTGCGTTTTGCCGCTAATCTTTGATTTGTTCTTGCTTCTAGTAGGTTTGTTAAACGCCTGACTTGCTCCCGATTGAGATTGGCTATAAAAAGACTATTATAGTTAGCGTATTTAATAAAAATTTCCAACACCTCAAGTAGGCTTGGTGGAACATGTTCTGTGACGGCGGCATAAACATAGTTATCGGCACCTAACCCAAAAGAAACCCTATAAAGTGGATAAAGGGGAGAAACCAAAAACCAAACTGGAAAGTGAGGGCTGGTTTGGGGCCCCTCCGGGCCTATGAAGCCTATGTGGTCGCGCGTGTAGAAAAAGCTATTTGCAGGGTCCACTACGACCGGCAGACACCGTCAGCAGAGCACAACAGGCTAAAGAAATAGCAAACCATCTGGTCCATTCTTCGAGGGGTGGGCAACACCGTTGTATACGGGCTGGACGGGCAACGATGGAACTTGGCTCGCTTGCTCTTGAAGGCAGAAGTAGCCGCCTTGGTAGGCATAACGCTTGCTCTACGCGAATAATGCATGGCAATTTCTGACCCAATAGCCGACAGTCACAAACGTACTATTCTGGGCTTGGCTATTTGCATAGCGCAGATTTTTAAGTTGTTCAGGGGACCTTCAACAAGGCAGTCGTTTTCCTTGTACTCGCAAAGAAGGCTGTTCCAAAGAGGCTGTTTGGCCAGCACCTTTGGGTTTCCGATAATGATTATTCCGTACTTCGCTCGAGTAAGTGCAACGTTTAGGCGTCGGGGGTCGTTTAAGAATCCGATACCTAAAAAAACAAAGTACTGAAACTATTATAAAAACACTAATTGCAAGTGCGTATCACCTTGATGTTCATTGCTTCTAACGCAGGACACAATGATAAAATCTTTTTCTCTTCCCTGAAAAGCATCGACACTAGCGACTTCCACTTCCAGATAAAGCTTAGAGGGGAGTGCGCCATGGTATTGCATGTACTGGACGACGAACGCACGTTGGCCTAACGTTCAATTATAGCACACGCAGTCAACAGCTGCGGAAGGGCAGTCAATGGGCAATATAACCCTCATAGGGCGTAATCACTCCAATCTGATAAGGCTGAACACCAGCATTAAGGAACTGTGTGACACACTTCTCAACGTTGGCAGCTTCAGTTCGATTTAAATAGGACGTGCCTGAAAGAACCACAGTGTCAAAGAGCCGTTCGAAAAGCTGCCTGACCAGTGAGGGGTAATACCACTCGAGCTTATTTCCTCGCTGCCAATGGTGTAGTAAAAAAACATGGGGTTGTCTACACGTGGCCAGGGAAACTTGAGATCGAACAATATTCGCTTAATGACATAAAGTTAATGGAATTGTAAGCGGAAGTTGGTGTAAATAAAAGACCTCTTGAGCAGTGACGCCGTTTTGCAAAGAGCCTTCGTAGAAAGTGTTAGAAGGAAAACGACTCAAACAAGGGTGCATCCGATACTGCACTTGCAGGCGAATGGGTCGGATGCCCAGTACAACCAACCTGAGGATGTCTTAATTACGACGTTTACAAGAAAATAAAGAAAAAGAAGACCTCTCAAAGAGAGATTGGGAGAGACCCGCCTTGGCAGCGGCTTTGCACATGACAATGGGGCCAAGTTGACAGTGATCGCCTACCAACACGACTTGACGCGCTGACGAGACCACCGGAATCAAACATTCTACCAGCAAAGCACGCACGACCAGCAGTTAGACAGGAAAACAGCGGACGAATGGGAACTAGGGAGCAAACCAGGTTCGGTGGCTTGCGTGCTTTCATCCACAAGAACAAACCGAAACTTCATGTTCTGGAGCCTGCAAGGCACGGTAAGCCTAAACAAAAACAACTGAGCGAAGAAAGTCAGCCGCCTGGCGTCTCCAGCGCCGACACAAGTGCAGCATATGACATCAGCATTTTTTAACAACTCGCGCTCGCATGTTCGCTTCAAGTTGTTGTATCTCTTTTCGTCTGCACTGGAAAGTTCTCCCTGGTCATCTCTACCAGAAAAGGCATATGAAAAACCCATTCCAGAGACACAAAGGTTCGCCCTACCTCAACTGCTGCAACTTCTGCAGTTCAATGCCTCCATCCATGTTTCGAACCTGATAAACCCAAAAAGGCAAGTAACTTCGCACGACTAGTAAAGAGAAAAAGAAAGAACTGAACTTGGTTGTGAAGGGCGAGAAAGCTAACGGGAGAGTCAATAGCCTCTCGACTTTTCGCGCACACTCGAACAACTTTAAGTCCTAAAAAAGCAATGCGGGCTGTCACAATGGAGGTAAGCAAGATGATTATAACTTAGAACCGGTGCGATGGATCTTTTCTGCAAGCTGGTCAACGGCAATGTTTGATGGCGCACAAACGAGCACTTGTCCCTTATAAGAAAGTGCATTAGTTACCACCACCAAAGCCAAAGAGAAAAGTGTCCAATGAGAGAGGCACACCTGGTTTCGAGAGGCCAGGTGGTAGACAATCGAAGCGGAAGTAACGGTCTTTCCGGTGCCAGGAGGACCCTTATAGAAATCCGATAAGAATGTACGAGAAGCAAGCCAAGCTCTGCTGCACCTGAATGAGACTAAGCGGTTTTTGAAGGACCGTCTTCACTGCAGAGACCTGAGAATGGTTTAGCTCGGGAAGGCCGGGGGCCGAAAATCTTATAAAGCAGTCAATCGCGGAAAAGTTAATAAAGAATAGAAGAGAAGAAGACCTTTTAGGAAGAGTACATTTGATGACTTGCGGTTCCAAGTCATGCCCTAAAAGCCGGTGGTAGATGTACCCACTGACGCACTGCTCATCAAGAGCAAACTTCTTCATGGCATTCTGCATCCTGGACCGGTGTACGAACAGAGAAGAGCAGTGAGGGACGCAAAGAAGAAAGGAGAAAAGGAGAAGAACAAGCCTGTCAAAAGAAGTGGCTTTCCAAACAAAGTCAACACAGAAGTTTTGAGTTATTTCTGAAGGGCAGCCGTGACTGCTACGGAGCTCTAAGCCAACTTCCTCGCCGTAGTCTGCAAGAATACTTTAAACGAGAAAAGTGCCGGGGAGACTGCGGCATACTATTAGGGACTTTGAAGACGTGACCGATGCCTTCCCAGTGGTTGGCCAACTCTCCGAGATAGCTCAGTCTTAGCTCGTCCCCTGGCATCAGCCGGAGCTCTACCCAAGCCAGCGCACGCAAAAAATAACAACGACAACGACTATCCACAACAACAGCGGACCATCTCTAGCGTTGAGCTTAAAATAGGCCGCCTTTTTTTTGTTTAGCAGAACGTCCCAACGCACAGTAATGTTCCTCTGCGTTTGGGACTCCTTAAGCTTCTTATCAAAATCCGCTTCAAGTTTAACGAGAGGCCCAAACACGTTTTGATACTGGTACGCGTCCTCGTAGCTAAAATATACAACTGTAGAGTAAAAAGTTTACTTAAATAGAATAAACAGGTACCGAAGGAGAACGTGCTGCGGTTCCTCATCAGCCCCTGGTTTTTTAAGATCATCCAATAAAGCCTTTAATTAATAAGCAATTAATTAAGCTCTAAATTTAAATAAATAAAAAAACTTCAGGCTCGTTTTTCCACAGCTCTTCCAATTTATGAATCTGCTCCATTGAAATTTGTCGAGCCCTTAGTTGTTCCTAACATAAAAGTAATAATTTGCTTCAAAGAAGGTGGCAATGCCAAATATATAACTTGCTCGCTAGGAACTTTTACTAGCCAAGGTAAAAAGCAACGATCATCAATAAGTGGCATCCATTGGGAAAGGTCCCAACTGGTTTCTTTAAAGTTAACCTGATTAGCGCAAGGATTCCTAGTATGCATTAAATAATGATACACGAAGGGGAGGTAACTGTACCGGTATATAGAAACATACCGGCACAGCAAAACTACTACAGAATCCGACTTGGCGGGGATAAAACCAAGTAAAAAAACATTTCGACAACCGCAATTGTAACACTCCAGAATTGTATCGCCTTTTAAAAGTTAAAAAAAAACAAAAAAAAAACTGCAAGAAAAGACCCAAAGGGGAATCGGCGTGGAGTATAACTTCTTTATGTTTCGCTCTAACAAGATGATTAATAATGTGGCTCGCTGAAGTATTGCCTCGGCTGTTGCAGAACCACTTATGACAAGTTAAGCAACATACAACGGAGGCAGGGTTGTGGATTCCACAATAACTAGAAGTAAAAGTAAAGATATACTTAATAAATAAAAATATACTCTTTTTTCTTACAGACAAGAATGAGGAGGTAAATCTTTTAAAGGAAGATGTTCTTCCTCTTCATTGACGTCATCAAAATTAAGTTCTGTTAAAGCATTAGCGATGTCATCCATCCCGTGCATAATTGAGGAAGCTGACTCATTTCCAGGAGCATTACATGCATAATTTTTATAAGGAATACCGCTGTGCTGAAATTGAGAGGTATAATTGCCTTCAAGCTGAGAAGTCTTTTTACAAATATGAAGTAATAAAGGCTACAAAACCGCTTAAAAAATAACCTGTGTGCTCTGAGTCAAATCTACTTGAGTTTGCGTAGGAAGCGAAAAGTCGTTATATTCATATTGAGAACCTATAGAAATTAAAATTTTTTAAGTAATCTATAGCTAGCAAGGAAGGATTAACATGAAAAAACCTTGCGTATCCCCCTGAAAACCAACATCTAAAAATGGTAAGGGGGCCTCCAACTTATGTTTATGATTCATCTACACGATGCCAAGAAAAGGATAAAAAGAAAATAAAATTTTTTTTAGCTGAGATGGGCAAGCAATGCTGACAGAAAAACGCGTAACGAGAGCTCACCGAGAAGCAAAAGCTGACTGTAAAACCTTGTGGGCCTCCGCTGGAGTAGTTACCACCAAAATTTTGCCCTTGTCCACGTGGTAAATCCTGAACTGTGCAGCGGCTTCGTTTCAAACCTTTCCGCAGTTTCCTAAGGGTTCTTTGCTAGGAGAGCTCGTAGGGTAATTACTGTTTCGGCTTGTGTTCCATGTTCATTTTATACTAATACAAATTTTTGTTAAGGTATTTTTTTTGGAGTGCTTTATACCAAATTAAAATTAAACTTACACTTTGTTTTTCCCTATTTTTCACCATGCCCGGTAATTTTTACCTTTTTTTATTATTTTAGAGATCGAAAAGGTCAAAAACTATTTTAAATAGTATAGCGCTTACATGTTAAAACTTCCTTATTTTTCTACTTGCCTAATAAATGCCCTACTTACCGTTTTTTAAATTTGTTAAAAAGCGCATATCTTTTGATTTATAAATTACTTTTATTTATAGTTAAGGGTATGCTCGATACTGACCGTCATTTTACCGGGCATTATATTATTTTGTTGATTTTCTTTTTTGTTGCCTTCGCTTTGATCGTTCGCTTTTTTTACAGGTACTAATAGTTGTACTTAACTTTATCAGATTACCTTAAAAGTTATTTCTTTAGTTTCAGGGTCGTTTCGAAATGGGTTCCTCTCCCTTTTTCCATCATTATGCTGATCATAGGCTTTTTATTCCAGTTAGCTAATGATAGGGGTGAGGAAAAAAAAATATTTACCTGTGGGCATTTTTAAAAGATAGACTGTTTTTAAATAATAAGGTATTTCAAGGTCGCTGACTGTTGCACTTGATTACGCTCTTTCTACACATCCCGTACAAACTTAGTGTTTAACTTTTATATATCGGAAATGGTTTTGCAATTTTTGATTATGCTTTATAGGATATAATCTTATATCTGTTTGTCCCAGCCTTGGTGTTTGAGTCTGCTTATTCGCTAAATCATCATGTCTTTAAAAAAGTGGCCATTTCCTCACTTTCTCTGGCATCCCTTGGCGTGATAATTAACATAGCAATAGTAATTATTTTTTTATCTCTTTGGTGTTTAACTTAGTGCGTGGTTAAATCTCACTGCATTTTTTTTAGTGCGGTGTCTTTATGTACTACACGTTTCGTTATACATGGAATTGGTACGTCGTCTTTATGATCGGCTCCATTGTTAGTGCGACAGGTATTTTATGAATCACGGCATCCTCCTCTCGCTGTGGATTACTTGTGCAGATCCGGTTGCTGTAGTAGCGCTTTTGCGGGAGCTGGGCATCTCAGAGCGCCTCTCTGTGCTTATCGAGGGTGAAAGCTTATTTAACGACGGCAGCGTTAGTCCACTCTGAAACTCTTTTTGCTTCGCGCATTTATTGCTTCTTTAGGCTTCCGTGGCGTTCTATATATTTTTTTCCTTGGTCAAAAGGGAAACCCGAACCGCCTCGGATTTGGTACTTATTTTAACCTTTAGCGCGTAAATATTATATTTATCTCCTCGCGCAGCTTGGCTATGTTATCCGTTTGATCGCCGCTGGCCCGTGTATAGGAGCTGTGATGGGCGTATTGGTAGCGGTTATGCGTCTACTTTGACTTCACAGATTCACTTGCTGCAATTTGCTTAAGTGCTGTATTTTCATTGGCATTACCTACTTTGACTCCATTGCGGAAATGACCATCATCGTCATAATCCCCTTCGCCGTTTTTTGGGTTTGCGAGTATGAAAGTAGTACTTCAGGTGGCCCGTGTTAATTAACAACTGGTAAGCGTCCTTCTCAACTCTCCGTTTTGTTACCTTTAGGTATTCTAGGAGTCGTGCTATGCGGCTTCATCGTTGGTCTGTATGGAAAGCCTCTGATCTCGAGCATAAAAATAGAGGAGCAGATCCATCATATCTGGGAACTGATCAGTTTCTGGTATTATTAAGGTTCTGAGTGTAGTTGCTGCGGGCATCACACATTTTTTAATTGAGGTTCAATTCGTTGCTTTTTGCCATAACTGGTCTTGTCTTGGGGCAAAAGCTGCTAATGAAAAGGCTAAGGTTCTTCTTAGAAGACCATTATATAACCTCCGCGGCTACTATGTAGCATCAGCTCTCGAGACTACCTGAATGGGCTCTTGCTGTACCTTTGCGTCCACGTGGCTCGTTTCCTCTCGATCGTTGCACAGTATCCCATCCTCAAGTATTTTGGCTACCGAATGAGCTTCGGGGACTATACCGTCCTGACATATGGTAGTGCACTCGCTGTATGAGCTCTACACGTAATTTACGGGCCGGCCCGCAGGAGGGTTGAGGGGGGCCATTTCCATAGCTTTGGCGTTACTAGTGGAAACGGATCCCACCGTCGATGAAGACATGAAGGTTGCTTTCTACCACGTGGCACTAGCGTGCGCTTTGATTTCCGTTTGCTGTGATAGGCAAAAGTGGTCTTTCTTGTAGCCTTTGTCGTGATGTTTACTTTAGTCATAAATGGCGCTACGACTCGGTAGGCCATTTACTGCTTTCCGAAAATTTGCTAAGTTTTATACAAATTACGGCTCGTTAACATTTACAGGTTTCTTCTAAATCTTCTGGGAATGGCTCAGGTCACTCCTGCCCGCCAGCAGGTTTTTTCAAAATTCGCTCTTTCTCTTGTTTTACTACCCAGCGCGGATTTATAATATGTAGCTTCTCATGGCCACCATCGAGCATATAAAGCAGTCTGCTAAGCAGACTATGCAAGCTCTTCAGCAGAATTCATTCTATAGTGGAGCTAACTGGGCTCAGGTTAGTTTGTTATAAATGATGTTTCAATAACATCATGTGCCTGGGTGTAGGTCGAAAAGAACCTGCTGCTTGAAAAGTATACTCTGCCTCTCAAAGCGAAGGAGGTTCGCCGTTACCTGTTATGTTTTTGGGCGTTAGTCGCTGTACTTTATCATGTACTCCTGTGTAGGAGTGCATATACTCCTGCGAGCAATTCGGGGTAGGCATGACCATCATTGCATTATCTTCCCATCTGATCTCGTTCGGGCAGCACACGGCCATCCTGTCTGGCAGTTAAGTAATCCACGCTACTTCTATCAGTCTTTTATAATTTCCTTGAACTCCAGTGGTCAAAGCAAAAGTGGAGAGAACGGAACTCCGAAAGGTGTTTTTGGGGGCCCTGAAAGGCCGCTTCCGTCACTACTTTTACGAGGATAGGGCGCTTGGTGCCATTTCCTATAAGACTCTGACAGAATGTGTAGATTTTGAAGTAGACTTTTAGCCTTCTGTAGCTGTGAAAGATCCATCATTCTTCTTAATGCAGTTGGATAGAGATGATGACTGTCGCCTGTTGGGCATTTGGGAGCGGCTTTCCTCCAAGTTTCAGATCCCCCGTTACTTGAAGCACGGCGTTCTCCGTCTTCAGATTCCCTTTCTTAACGAGGTTGCTTCCGTGTTTGCCCTAAAACTCTCAGTATTGTCAGTGTGTTGCTGTTTGTTCCAGCTGATTTTACACCGGTGGATTTTGAGGGCTTATGAAATCGGGCAAACTTTCATTCAGAGTCATCGCGACCTCCTCCATGTACTGGTAGGTCACCCTGCTTCCTGGCCTGCTGCACTTAATCATTTTTTGATAACGCTCTAGGCTTCAGTGAGACCCGCTGTCAGCAAAATTCTGGTCAACGATGTTCATCGCTCTATTGAGGTTTGCCAGTAGCACATATCCTTTATCAAGCCTTAATAACTTGTTGCAGCTCTGTCACTCCGCGCTTGTTTCCATTACTTCCTTCTCCGAAGAAATCACGGGAATCGTGCAAACCCGCCACGTCACGTTTTGTGTCTTCAAGTCGATGCTGGAGTCGATCGAGCATGCACGCGAGGACGGCATCTTCCGGTGGACTGAGTATAATATATTACAGCGCCTTTTGCATTCGGTTGATTTTTATTGTCTTCAGTATCTTTGTTTTTCACTTCGTAAATGTAGCGCGTTCGTTTGATGGGCCTTCAACTGTTTGCTTTGGAGAAAAGTTTTCGCTCCGATCGTGAAATTCTTTTTGGCCGTGAACTTTTGAAGCCGTTAGCCGCCTTGTATGATACTCTGGGCTTATCCACTAGAAAGGTTTTTTTTCCACTGCACCCTATAAAGTTTACATAGCAACTTGTACAGAAATTTTTTTCCGCAAAAACGCACCTTTTTACCTTGAAACAACCCGTTCATAACACTGTAGCGTACGTACTGCTGCGCGGAAGAGTCGAACATAAATACAAAGAGGCGTTAATATTAAAGTAACTATTGTTTAGCAAATCTAACTTTGAATTTGTGCGAGGCAGTTTGCTTTTCCGGAGGAAAGCGACACTATGCAACTCGAGGACGCGCACGTCAGGAGCGTCAGCGAAGGGTACAAGAGTTCACGTGTGTACTGACCATTATTTGTACGCAATGCCATCTACCGCTGCTACAGGTGTGGTGCAGTCGTTGGAATCTCCAATCTCCTGCAGGACACCGACTGGGAGGAGGCTGTCACGTTAACTCCTTCAGAGTTTCTGTGTGTTGATCGGATACTTTGGAAGAGCGTGCATTATCTACTTTGAGGCGGCTCTAAAAGTTTTCTCTATTGGGCTTAACACACTTTGGTAGATTCTTCAAGAGCACGAACACGTTGCCGATGCCTTTTATAAGATTTTCGCTTCTCAGCTCATCGCCCACCATTTTAGAAGAATTGCTTTAAACGTTCATCCGACAGGGTCTTTAGATTTTTCCTTATGAAGTTTGAGTATACACAAAACTTAAAGGGCGTCCACAGGCTGCTAGAAGCCGTAATGAGCGCACATCTTCTTAAGGGCTTGCAGAAGGATTTCAAAGGTAGTTTTGGCTTAAACAATATGGTTCGCTTGCTAAGTTTCTGCGCATTAATGAAAAAGAGATCTTGCCCTATTCAGTTCAAGTGTGCGGATTGCTGCTGCAGGGATTCTGCGTTATTCAGTACGGCGGTGATAAGCAGGAAAAAGGTTATTTTTTTTTGGCTTTTTATACTTTGCGTGTATTATATTCTCTTTGCTTTCCTCCAGCTTCTCTGTACTATTGATTTCTGTTATTTCTAGTACTTGCGCCTACTTATTTTGAAGGCCCCTGCCTAATACGCGAACTCTCCGCTGACTCTGTCGTTTTGCCTCTAGATTCTGTAGAGCAGTACAGGTTCACTTACTATAGTGTGTTAAGGCAGCATTGCGATATCATATATTAATATCGTTTGCAGGAGTTGCTTAACTGCTGCGGCCGAAAGATTCCTAGACTGCTCCAGGAGATCTCCTGAAAGTTGACTTTTCTATCATTACCTTTCTGACAGTATTTATATTAACTTTACCAATAATAGATTATGTGAGAAGCGGAGTCTCGTGCTCAAGCATTGCAAGGCACAGCATCGCTATAACTGGTTTCTATAGATTTTAACTGCCTTTGCTCCTCTGTTGTTGATTGGATTATGAAAAGCTCGCCCATCGCTGTTTACTTCTGCTGTAGCCTGTAAAGAAGCCGATGCCAAGAGAAACGAGTACATCGAAGGTGATGTTGAGCACGTGGTTTAAGTTCCTAGTATGCTAAACCACCATGAAAAGTGGATATGAATGAGCCCTCCCGTTCGACCTTGACTAGTCTCACCCGCCCGGATCGGATTGATTCTTCTTTGGAAAGGTTCGAGTTCTACTGATTACCTGTCACTCTTCTAAATTCCTCTTATTATATTTACGGCGGCATCAGGATGCCAACTAATATCATCGGAAGGAAAAACACTTTTAGATAGCCAATAGGCCTTTTAGGTTCAAACCCTGCAATGTGTGGTTTGTCCCTCTCGTCCTAAACATTTTTTTATAAAAACTTTAACTGTATTTATACTATATAGTCAACTTTTTAAGAAAATTTAATTATAATAATAAAATTTTTTCGCCTTTTTAACTGTCTGGATTAAAATAAGTACTCTAAAAGCCATTATATTGTAAATCTGTGCAGTTTTGCTCAAAGACCCGCTTGAATAATAGCCATTGAGAAGGCGTAGAAAGTGTCATTTTACAGGGATAAAGCAACCCCCCTTTGGATTTTTGTTAATGCCATCCTCTTAGCAAAACTAACCAAAAAATTTGGGAAACCTAATAAACGCGTGATATTTTATTAATTAAATCTGCACCCTTGTAGATCTTTTGTCACATACCAAGCTTTCTCCTTCTGTAAATAATACAGTTTCATATGGTTGTTTTGATTCATGTTGTTGGCATGAAGAATCGCGAGTTCGTCTCGGCTACTTTTATGTAAAAGCGTTTAAACCTTTTCCCCTTAAGATAAACTTAAATTTACACGTTCCCAAAAGCTTCCTCGTATTTTTTTTTGTATAAAAAGTAGCCGCCGTCCGGAAAGTTTTTTTGTTCCAAGTAACAAAATCTTATGTTGATATTAAAGCAAACTGTCTCTATAGTAAATTTATAGTAAACTTTGTAAGATGCTCCGGTATGCCTTCGGATTTATCCTCTTTGCCAACAAGAATCCATTTTCCTCTGAAGCAGTAATAATATAATGGATGAAAACCGTTAGAAGCGCAGTTAAAACCTATAAAAGTTATGCATGGCTATAATTAGCGCGTGCTGCTCTCTTCTTCCTTTAAGGCACTGATAAGCTTTTAACCTTTTTTTTAAAATAGAGGTTGTAAAACGTACTAATAATATACTGTAATTAAAAGGCAATAATAATAGTTTTATAATAATTATAAATATAAAATTATATTGTTAAGCTAATAAATAAGTAAACATTTTAACTTTCCGCCAATCTTTTAAAATTTACGAATTCTTTGTTATTTATCACATATTGTACCAAATTTGAAAAAAATTTTTTGTGCGCTCGTTACTTGAAGCAAAATAGACACCGGCGTTAAAATATGGCCGCCACGCAAGTTCTTCTGTGTTATGATAAACGTAAGATTTGCCTTGGAAGCCGCTGCTCGTTTAACCAGAAGTGAATGCGTCCTTTCCATCAACTTGCCAGTGGAAGTCGCACCGACGGCTGTGCAAATCCACATAAGCAAAGGGATTGTTCAGTACAACGCTGTCAGCGTCCGTCACAAATATGTTATAGCTAACAAATAACTTAAAATAATTTTGTTTAACAGATATAAATTATAATCACCCAAGATTTATTATTGCTGCAACTATTGTAGTTTTAAAGCTTATTACATTCTTCCAAGCTTTACTTATATTCTCTACGTTCTATAGTATGCGAAATATATATATAACGCGTGTTAGACCAATTTATTTTAAAAAGCTCGAGCCTTATCATAAAAAATTGCGCTTTGATCTGTAACGCCGTTGTTGCGCAAAAAAAGAGTGGTTCTATAATAAGACGCTTCATCAAACGCTACAACTAAAAAGTTGTCCTGTTTGTATTAAATATAAGCTACTACTATATAAGGATTTTAAAAAGTTTTAATAATAATAAGAAAATTCAAGGGAGCCTGTAAAGTCTTCTTCGGCAGTTAAGCAATTCAACGCTAACTAAATACTTACGCTTGTTCAACTACTAAAACTTTTATGCAAAGTAACGTCTGTCGATATTAGGTCACTTTGCAAGTGAAGAAGACAGGGTTTAGTAGTCAAGAACTTGGTCACCATTTCTTTGAACGCTTTCTTACTAAAAAGTTAATAAGAACTATAATATTTTTACTAGTTTTAATCTTTGCAAAGAACATATCCAATTAAAAAGAAGGCTAAGATAACTTGATCCAGAAAAACTCACAATAATGGTATTGTTTCGTGCTCGCTTCTTTTTATACAAGTGTTAAATCAAGTCGGTAGATGTTATCAAGTTAATTAACGTGAATAATCACTATAAAAAAATTTTAAAAAAGAGCAACTTCAAGAAGTTTTTGTAAAGGTTTTTGATCTATTATTGGTTGTTGGAAGGAAAAATCGAGTTTACAAGTTGGGAGGGTGACCTAAAATTATAAAATTAAAAGTGCAATAGCGTAAGTAATTAAATAAAACTTTATTGTGAATATATTGATGCTTGAGAGCCAGATTAGGAACGTAATTCGTGTAAAAATCATAATTGCGGAAGATTTCTTTAACAAAATTAATTTTAAAAAACAAGATAACATTGATTAGTAAAGATACTAGTTTCCTACGCAGCCAATGATAAAGCAAGGAATATAATAAGGCGATCAAACAATATAAAAATAGATTAAGACAGCTTTTGGGATAAAATCAACATAAACTTTACTTGGATAAATGACAAAATCTATTTGAGCAACTTTTAACGCATTATCTCTGGAAAAGACACACAATACTGAGTATTCATAATGGCCTAAGTAAATGATTTTGCCGAAAAAATTAATTTTAAAAATAAGTTAATAACAAGCGTAACAGCAGTGACCTTCTTCAAGGTCAACACAACTTATAATTTTTCCATCTAAGACGCACTAGACAGGTAGATGGAAGTAAAGAGATTTTGTATTAAGAGAAGAAACACATTTACATTTCCGTTTAAAGGACTGCCCGAGGATTTTCGGAGGGCCCACTCAGTACACTTGATATTGTTTATATTGCACTCTTAATTTTTATGATTATATATATCAGTTGAACCTTAGAGGAGACTGGAAAGGTAAAATTAATGTAATTTCTCGGTAAAACACTTTTTCCGTTTAAATAAAGTAATCGCTTTGCCTCTTTTTTTTTTGTTAATAAATGCTTTAGAACCTTAGTAAGGTAAAGCGTACACAAAATGAAAAGTTTAAGATTCACTAAATAATAGTGTATCAATGTAAATTAGGAAGCAAACTTTTAAACCTAAGTTATAAGGATAAAGGCCACATTATACTTTTAATAACTTTATAGCTGCCATTAAGGACAATAATCTTTATAATTTCCTCCTTTTTAGAAAAACTTTCCACCAATTTGAAGTAATAAGCACCGGGGTCCACCTGCTCAAACCCGCTTACCTTTGACAAAAATTAATTAGGTAAAGTACTTTAAGAAGTAAGCGCTTAGTTACTTCAGCCAAGCTATCATTAAAAGAAAATAATAAGGAGGAGGCGTTTAATTTAATCCAACGAAACGAAAGCTTTAGAGGTTGATGTGTTCTTATAAACCCTTTATTAGTTAATAGGGACTTTCAAAGAATAGAGTAAACAACTTTTTTGAGATACCGTGTAATGTTATATTTCTAGGCTCATCCTTATAAACCACAAGATCGGGCCCAACATATAACTTTAAATTTGATGTATTTTTTGTAAATTTAAATTCTCTGTCTTAGTTAAAGAAAAAGATATGAAAGATTAGTAAATAAAAACCTTTTTTAAGAGGATTACTAATGATAGTTTTAAGAGATTTATAATACAATTCATGGCTACCTTTAATTAGGCTTTGTGAACCATAGAGAAAACAAATTATTAATAAAACAATAGCAGAGCATTTTCTAAGTTTATAGCGGAACCTATTAATATACTTTACATTAAAATCAAAAAAATTTCGAGATTTTATTAATGAATAATTTCACCTACCCTTTTGGTTTTACATGTTCCAAGTACAAACGAGGGAAGTAATAACCTACTAGTCTATTTAAATTAAATATTAGACACTTTCTAAAAAAGTTTTTAAGATTTTTTACCGACTCACAAACATCTACGTATTCCAAATTAACTAAAAAAGAGCTGAGGTGAATAATTTGTTTTCTAATTTACAAGGAGCAACCGCTGAACACTCTACATATATAAAATTATTCGGTCATTTCTTTATATAGTTTAAAAAAATATTATTTATTGGTGCTACTTACTTTCTTATCGATATTAACTTAAAAAATTAATTACTTTTGCTAAATAAATATTAAGGGTTAAGATAAAAGAGTAATAAAAATATATATGATCTTTAACAATTTTATAGCAGTTATAATATTCTTCCATTATACCACATTTGAATAAATTTGTTCGTTACTTTATATTATCTTATCTTTAACAGTATAGCCTTTTTCCATATATGTTTTTACCTTGCGAGGTTCTCGTTTTTCAATTTAGTATTAAAATATTAATTTTATTTGCTCACCTGCTTAAGTAACGAAAATTGTTAACCGCTATTTTTTTTCGAAGTGAGTATTTTCCTACACTCGCTTTTACGGGGGGCCTTTTGTAAAAAGAAAAATTAAAGAAAATGCTTTGGAATACTTGAAATTCCGAAGGTTCTTCTTCATTGATTAGATGTTTCATAAAAGTGAAAGTAAATTAGAATAAGCAGAACGGGCCTCAGTAAGAATATGTCGATTAACTCATCGTATTATAACATAATTGACAGAGTATTTATTTTATCAAAAAAACTGGAAAACCGAAAAATAAATTATTTTTTAAAAAAACCTGGTTAGCGAGCTGTGTTAAGACTGAAGTCAACAAATATTACAGGTACATTCTCAAAGCCGATTTTTCTTTGGAAAATTTAATTTTTCTAATTCGTAATGGTTGACTTTGGTCTACATGTTAGTGTTAAAAATGTTATCTACCTTCCTTATTTGTTGTAAATTTTTTTAAGATAACTACTTGAAAGAATTTCCTGATAAATACTTTTGCTTACAAAATACAAATCTAATATAAACAATTTTTTAACCAATACCAAGGCCTTAAAGTTGTTCACCCAAATTTAGTAGTTGTAAATTCTGATCAAACTTAAAAGCCTTTGTCCGTATGTTTTTCGACCTTTAGGGTCGTGTAGCATTATATTGGTCTTTCTAGTTATTTTAGGAGTGATCAAAATAACTTATATGTAAAGTAAAGAAATTATATTTAATTAATAATTAAGAGCTCTTTTAACCTTATAAATAATATATATAGTAAATAGCGTAGTGTTTTAGATAAAAATAAATTAAGTTAGTTTCAGTATTGTTTTAGTTTTACACTCATCGAGAACTAAAGGCTTAAATGCTTTATGTCTCTTCTGCGTGGTTAATATGGCAGCATTATCAAATTTCTGAGTGTTCTAACAATGTTTTCTTTTTAATAGTCTACGCTTAGAACTTCGTAACATTAAAAATTAGTTTTAGGTTACACAACTTGTGTAGTTAGTTGACATCGAACACGCAGTTACAGTTTTTAGGCCTAACTAAGTTAACTACAACAATTAATACTTCACACACAGTCTTATTATACCCCCACGCATAGCCCTATAGTAATACTAATGTTTCCATGTTAAAACTATCTCAGTCTAAGCTCGAACAGTGATCATAATTAAGCTATAATGTTTAAAATCCATTTCAAGTCAAAAAAAACACTAGTACCATTGTACCAAATATTAATAGAATCCAATACCATACCCTTGCAGATAACACAAGTATTTATGGTATCAAACACCACCCTTTGTAGTTCAATAAAATGCAAATAAGCCATTTTGAGACCTGCTATTAGAGTTTAGACCAACATAATCTAGAACAGTGTCAATTACATAATTATGAATATATTAAAACTAACCATGATGTCGGGTCACCCTAATTAGTTATACTAACTTACAAGATGCTACTAACTCTAGATACTGGTGGTGGCTCTCCTCAGCGATCTTGAAGTTATCTTTTCTCTAATCTCTAGGCTAGGAACTGCGTGAGTACTTGCAGGTAGTATGAGGCAAGCTATATATATCACTTGTGGACTAGCGCAACACACTTACGGGATTAGCACATAGCGCATTTACCTAACTGAAAAATAATCTACACACACTTGCACATCAGATGGTTATACTAATGGTTCAGGAATGGTGCATAGTGCAAGTTGTCTTTACTCATTATGCAAGTCTCTAAACTGTAAAATATAGATACTAAGCCATCAATTTCGAACGCATATAGGTCGCAGCTATCACAGGTACTTGCATGACAGCCACACCAATTTTTAAAAGTTCGAATGAATCTACCTCTCCGCCTATAAGGAAAAAAGATGTAAGCAATGCCAGCATTCCTAGCGTATGTTTGAAAATCCGAAATTAGCACCACAGCAATGTTTGCATATATGAAGCACCAGCCCTATGTATAACCGTTTCATAATATACCAGTTAGTACGTGCATATAACTTAGTGAGGGCTTAGTTGGAATATTGTATATGTAAGCGGCCAGTGATGCGGCTTGAGAGATCTTTTTATTCTATCGCGTGGTTGTGGGGCGGCCTGCTCCTTGCGTTATAGAAAGTCACTGGGCTAATGAAATTAATAAATAATATATAGTTTCTGTACAGAATAATGATCAATATACTTCGGTCACTAGAGTAGATAGTGTCAGCGCACGAAAATTACACATCCGGTATTATGAAGTATCCTTATAACAACGTACAGGGATGCTGAACCTACCACCAGACTAAATTTAACGAGTTTCTTCTACTACTATCCCCGTGAGGATTAGTGTGTAACATCCTCGCGTGGAGGATTAAATAGAAAATCCTTATTAACATTTACTAGAGTCCTGACGTTCAGTTAAAAGGGAATAATTGGAATTCATTCGCGTAGATGGCCCTCTAGATTTAATATTATCCTAGTCAATATTAGCGTAGCTGCGTTACCTTTTAATAATGCCAATTTTCATGCTATTATATAACTAATTTTTTAGCACGAACGTAGCCACCAAGCTAGTGCCAAGGTTTCGTACAAAACCATGCAAAGTTATTTCTTCAAGTGGCAAACCGAACGAACTGAGTAAAAAATTTTACGACCTAAGATGGTCGAGTTAAACTGAGGATCGATAGTATAACGTTCTGGTAGCCTGGTACTTAGAAGAACCGTCGATATCGAAACTCGATCGCCAATTACTGCGCTGGACTCAGACTAAGTACCTTAACTCGGACTTGACTGCTTTCTCTCGGTCGAGTCTGGCTAAAAATATACAAAACTATCCATTATAAAGCTTTTGATAACAAGGCAGAGGCTTTGCATTTTAGGAATTAATTAGCATTATTTAGGTTTTTATACCAAACTTGGAATAACTTTAGTTTTTAAGCTTACAAAGCATAATATCAACGGACTAGGGGCATGTTTATAAAACGCAGGACGGTTATTTCGCCGGTAAGACTCAATTATCGATTGGAAGTATATCAGAGATCTAGTTAGGGTCCCCCACTTTTACCAAAAACATTAAGCCTCTTTACAAAAGCATATATAATATTTGATTAGTAATATAGCTTCTGTTAAACACTTATCCGGCTAAGAAAAGTTTGTTGAACCATCTTCAAAACATTGGTTTCTCTTTATTTTTTAAAATTAAACAATCTGACGCTTGATGAACCTCTAAAAAAGCATCAAGTTGTAAAAATTATTTATTAAAAAATAGGTAACTAAAATATTAAATGTGGGGTCGAATAATTCACCTTATCCATATAATGATTAAATATAAAACTTTTACTGTTTAGCTTCAGCACAAAAAACAAATAGTAAAAGATATACGATACAAATTTACAAGGCAATAAAGCCGGTAATTTTTAACATATAGCATTAAATCTATTATAAATCGGCTATTCACAAATTAACAAACTCCGATGTGCGCCACAGAGGCTTTAGACCAATACGCAAAGCAGTATTTATATATAAATTATAGGGGTTGAATATTCAAATTAGTTATATAATATTAAGGCGATTGTTTAGCGTGATATAAGCATAAAGGTAAATAAATTATTTCAATGAGCGGGTTATGAATCAAAAAATACTGTATTAAGTTGGAACGCACAGTTAACGTATAACATAAGTTCGAGGTTCTAATGGAAAGAACACTACTGAATAGAAATGCGCAAAAAATGGCTTCAGGAAAACACAACAGTAATATGGGCCTTGACATATAATAATAAACACTAAAAGTTAGAATAACTTTGTAATAAATTAGCTAGTAAGGATACTCAAATAGCTAGAGCCAAAGTTTGAGGGAACTTAACAAAGAGGGGAACAGAAAGATGCAGTACAACGCAAACAACGCGACGAACTGATAGCGAGTCCGCTTGCATAAACCAGAAGAAAGATTGTCACACAATCCTTTCGAGTTCCCCTCTATCACTTTCCTTGTCTCTAACTCGATTACAATTTTCTTTATTATTTTAATAATTAAGTAAATACTGCTTTCTGAATAACGTGCAAAGTAAATACTATTTTAACAAAGTTCCTCTAAAACTTTTTTATATATTTGACCTCTTATAAACTAAGGCGAACTATCATAACATATAAAGGAAAATTGAAAAGTAACAATAATAAAAATATATAAACACGTTATAAAAGATTAAAAACTTCACAACTTACTAATTCTTTTATTCAATTCTTTATAAAAAAACATAATTTAATACTCGAGCTGGATAGAGATCAGGCAAAGATATAAATTGAAAAAGGCCTTGTAATATCAAAGCTTGCGATACTTAATTTCCTGTTAAGATTTTAATAAATTTCAGTTGTTTTAATAGTTCGTAACCTCGTATAATCCAACGAATCTGCATATACGAAAAGAATATATACAGTAAACAGTATTAATAAACATAAATTTCAACAAAAAATAGCAATAACTCATCAGAAGTAAAAGTGTAGCTTCAAACAGACAGAGCTAATTATGTCAAACAAAAAAAACTTTTGTTTAAACTAATTGCTTAAGTCAAGTCAGACCAAATGCCTTTACTCAAACATCATTAAGTTAAAATATAATAGACTTGCCAAAAAAAACTTGGCAACTATTATATTATAAACAATAGAAACAAATAAAAAAATATATGCCTCTATACTAAGACGCCTTTGACAAAAACAGAGTGGTCACTCTCAGAGACATAGTACCCATTGTATTATACTGGAATACGGTATGTTTAAAACAAACATACCAAACGCCACTACAATGAGTCTTCAATCTACCACTCCAGTAACGCACTATTTCACAAAAGCGACTTTTACGTAAAAAGCCAGTTAAAAAAGTGCTGACGGTATAGTGGTGAATATAAAAACACACACAACTAGGCAAATAATTACCTGTAAGTCATTAAGCAGGCTCTAAATGAGCTCTAAGACGGTCCTTACTTATAGAGTACCCGAGGCTTATATTTATATAATAAAAATATAGATTCACAGTGAGAAATGCTTATATAAGCCAACTCTTTTAAAAGTACATAGAAGTTTAAAAGCAATTACTTTATTCTTCTAGATGGAAAAGAAGAGGAGACTTCAACTCAACAGTCCACCACACTCCAAAAATCCCTTACGGAGCAAAACTATGGGCGGTCACAAGGAACCGAACAGTAAAAAATATCAAACTGGCTCCCGGAGACTTAGAAACGGTGTTTGTAGTAGAGAATACGAACACATGCTTTTCTCTTTTTGCGGACGACCTTTTCCCGAATAAAATTCATGCAATGCTAAATGCCTTTTATGATACATATAAAAATCTTGTTGTAAATAGATTTTGTGTTGTCGGATTTCTGGCTAAGTTAATTTTTTTACCTAAATTCTGTAGTTATACTGTTGGCTAAGTTGTAGTTTGATTAAGGCTTGTATTAATAATTGGATTTTTAGCTCTTGCAATAGAACGATAAGCTTATTTATTATGAAGCTGTTAAACCAAAAAGTATTAAGTAGACAAATTTTAATAAACTTTCTTTTACTTTTAAACCAATCTAATGTACGTACCATAACCTTTTAAGTTAACTTTTTTTACTGTTTTAGCCGCTGACTTCTTATAATAAAATTCATTTGAAATAAAAATTACAGTTAAAGTAAGCTCTTTTTATTAGATCTTAAAAGTAAGCCCTTATATTAAGGAAAAGTTTTTCGGTATATTACTAGTAGTGTTACGATAGATATATTTGTATTAACCTATTGTACAACTCTCCAAAAATGATCCAAGGAAATTCTCTTAGAAGTTAAGACCGAGTTTACCAAAGAAAAACCCGATAGGCGCACGTTTATAATAAAAACCTTTAGTTGATTACCTAACTGAAAGACTTTTGCGTCCTAATAGACACAAGTAGCATATAGAACGCTAAAACTATACTTTCATTAGAAACCAGAGTTACAATTTTAACGACAACTAATGGCGACTTCTAGTCTCAAACTTATAATCTGCAGCTATTCTGGGCAGCATAAGAGCATCTCTTTTTGTGCGGGAGGGGAGGGGCTAGACCCTGCTTCCCGGAACTACTTGGTCCTGCGGGAATAAAGACTGTAACTGAGTAAAAGAAGGATTTTGACAAGGCTAGGACTCTGCTTTTTACACTTTATTCTATATAAGAATTCTTTGGACAATTGAAAAGTAACTTAAACTAGACTTAAACAAATCGAGATCTTCAATAAATAGATCACAAGCGCAAGTGCCTTTTTGCAAAGGAGGGAGGCTCTCTGCCTCAAAGCAGTGATGCCTAAGAAGCCCGTCTCCGCGCAAACTCGTCTTTTCTACTTTATAAGAGGTGAGCTCTCCTTTGCCCACCACTCGCACACTCAACTTGCGTCTTTTATTCGGAGAGAGAAGGAGACTGGAAAACAGTTCAGAAATAACAAAAAAGCAAATTGGAAATTATAATAAAGGTACTTCTTCACTACATCACTGAGCTCTTCTTTAGTTATATTGCCCGCAGTCTCCGCAATTCGAAGATGCCGGTCGAATAAGAGCGTCCCTTCGTAAATTTCGACCCAGTTCCTGCGCACATTAGAGTAGATCTTTGAGGATCGGATTGGAACTTACTGGGCCACTTCATCTGTAAGGCAAGAGTGCGACTGGAGAGCGGCTTCTATAAAGGCCTCAATAAGAGTTTCGTACTCGCGTGCTCTCATATTGAGCAGATAGTCAAGAAAGAAAGACAAGAAGTTCTGAGATGAAAAGAGACAGAAAGAAGAGGAGAGAAGTAGTAGGAACAAGGAGCTACCTCGATTCGGGCGTCCACAAAAGCCACAGGATATTTGTCCGAGGGAGTGCGCACGTGAAAACTAGCCGTAAAGAAAAATAAGAAGGGATGCTTAGGGCTAGCTTGCTTCGAACCTGAAACCCAGAACGCCATCAGTGTTTCTATACGAACAAGAAACAGCGTACCCTACAGTAAACAACAGTGATTCAGATGTACAAGGACAGGCAGCTACTAATAGCACTTGCCGAGTTGCTCTCGTGTCCTTAACTGACTAAAGCATGGCTCGCACATGATATATTCTAGTAGCTGAAGCACCACAAGCCCTGTAAAGCGCCACGCGTCAGTGTTGATCCAATAAAAATGGCGATGAGGCACATACGGCGCACCGACATCCTCCCCAGCTGCCTCGCATTAAATATAACGTGTGCAAGAAACAGCAAAGAAAAAACCACCTGATAGTAATTTTCAACAACACTGTTACCATCAGCATCACTAGCCACGGGCGCCATTACCACGTGATCTCCGACGAGAAGACGAGTAACACGTGACTTATTTTCAAAACCAGCTTTACCCGAAAGGAGACGGGGAAAAGGATGGAGTAAACCTCGGGGAGCATAAATGAGGGAAGAGGTCCAAAGTTCACGCGGTGGAGCAGGAAAAGCATCATGCGCCTGGCATCATCCGCCGAAATGTTCCCTGGCGGAGTTTATTTCATACTAACGCACACGCGGCAAAGCCCACAGGAAGACCCTGAAGCAGAGAGTTCACAAAGAGCGTTTCTTTAAACCGCATGGAAAAGTAGAGAAGATCTTCGTGCGATAAGCCCGTCAATCCGGAAATCTACCGAATACACAGAGAGGCAGCAATAACGATATGACTGTGGTGCCCGTGTAGTACCTTATTATGAGTGGACCAATGGTCTTTCCGCAAAATGCGTAACCTAAGCTCTTTAGAGAGCCTAGAGGGCTTTAGCAAAGCGGACTATGGTGAAGAGAGGCAAGTAGCTCCCAGTAGCGAGAATTGCGAGGAAACAACGATAACCTCAAGCTCGCGCTGAAGAGCGTCTCTGCACAATTCAAAAGTTTTCTGGTCGGACATATGAAAAACAAACGGTTTAAGAAAAGGGCTCATAACTAAACCTCATCGACGAAAAAGTTGCAGATGGCGTCGAGTATACACGAAAACAGAGAGAAGAGTTTATCGTTATATCCACTTAACTGTAAATATAAAGGAAATAGTAGTGCTCTAAAGAGAAAGAAAAGTATGTACCTTCAAAACAAGGCCATCCGAATCGCTAAAAGAATAGGAAAAGCCTTATCGCAGAAAAATAATCAGAAAGGCAACAGAATAGTAGCAGTGAAAACAAGAAAAAACCAGCCACTTCGGCAGCATAAGATGTTTGAGACAAATTGTAGTTCACTACCATTACATACAACCGCGCAAGAACCGCTGAAAAATAGATCATTATAACGTTCACCAAATAGCAATAAACAAAACCTGTGCGCGGGTCCATATTCTGAAACGGATACACAAAATGGAAGTGGGCTATAACGCGGGGGAGACCAAATGTCGTGTCCACTCTGTGCCAGAGACGGCAATGGGGTGTGGCCATGATAACAACGGGATAGCTCGGTACTTGAGATTGCGTAATAATAATGATAATAATAATCATAGCAAAAGGTACCTAGAAGGGGCGGAGTTATCAAGATAAAATCTTTGGGAATAAAATTATTACTCGCCGGGAGCGTCAAACGCTTGTAAAGATACAAACAAAGTAGGTACGGCACGTTAAATATGCTAAAGACGTACAGAGTCCACTGGAGAGAAAAGCCACGTGCGTAGCCATTGCGGCTGTAGGTCCTCCTTTGCATGCTTTGTGCCAAACCATTTTTCGGAGTTCCGGCATTTTTTTTCAAAAACTTTAGAGAGGATGGAAACGCGGACGCTCTCCTACATAGTCGCCTTACAACCCCATCCATCGCTAATATAAAGTTAGTTCTTAACTGGATTTAAGAATTGAAGAAAGTCCCTAATGAGCTCTTCGTCGTACGCGCGGAACAGACAGGGTCCAGTTAAAACTTCTTTGACAGGGTAATTCATCAATGAGCAAGCCAAATCCTATTGGTAAGTAGATGGGCGTTCATATGCCGAATGGTGTATGCGTACGCACCACAGCAAGCTCACAAGGGTCCAATTCCTCGTGAAATTTAAAGCGAATGGATGCGATCGCCTCGATCTCTTCAAAAAGTCTCCTATTGGTCCATAAATTAAAGAAGGGACAAACACTGGTGGGAGTGGCGCCAGTACGCGGGTAAGGGCCCTGCAAGGAGCATACGGATGTACTGGAAGACCACCGCTACGACTTCTACGAAGTTCTCAATGCCCTCCTTTATTGCGTTTATAGTGATATAAGCCGAAAGACGTAAAGAAGTACTTCTGTGGCCTCCACCAGAACTTCATAGAGAAGTCCAAAAGAATCAACTGTCGAATGTAGATTCATCGAGCCGAGAAACAATAAAGAAGATAAAAAATACAACATTCCGAGTCTCCTTGAAAACTGCCTGCGCTCAAACCGAGGGCCCAACCTTGCTAGAAAAGCTCGTCAACGTACACATGGCCGACTACTAACAACATAACGACCTCTTTTAGAAGATGAAGGATGCTTCCTGAACCTGAAAGTGTGCACTTCTCAATAAATAGAAGCATTGCATATAAAAAAAGAAACCCTCGTGTCCAAGCAATTCAGAAACGAAAGCCTCTGGTTTGTGGTGGTACTGCAGGGCGCGCCACGTTATAAAAAGTTATACGCAAAAACAAAATAATTAGTAGTGTGTACGCGATGCCCAAAAGAGGGAAGCGCCCAAATGACGCTGATCTCGTGAGTCTCCTGCACGGGCGTGATATACACGACTTCGCGGAAAGCCACGCTGTCAAAGGCTGCATGAACACGTGAATTTGGACTTCCTAAAGTGCAAGCAATCAACTATGCTGCTGTAGTTTATAGAAATCTATACAGCAACCAAAAAGGGGGCGCTCAAGATGTAAATTTGGCATCTCCGAAAAATAATCAACCACCCAGCTTTGCATGACTTCCAGGCTTTCTTAATATATTAAAGTAAACGTGCATCGTACAATAAAAAAGGGGAGAAAAGAAGGAAGATGCCATACCTGAAGAGACCACAACCAGTTTGGCTATGTTTGCTGAATAAAAAGACTTGAAGAACTTAGCAAGTTCAGAATGAACTTCAATCCCACATTCACGTGGATTTTTGTCAAGAGTTTCTTGATTTCCTGTATAAAATTTTTTTTTAATATAATATGAATTTTAGTAATAGAAATCTATAACCCCATGAAAAACGGTGCAAAGGATGGTCGCGTCGTGCACAAGAATATAAGAGCTGGCGCTGTCGACACGTGTCAGAGTGCATCGAGAGCCGAAATTCTAAGTAAAAAATGTAAAGAAAATTAAAAACAAAAAAGTAAAACGATATTTTATAAATTTCATAAGACACTCTGCGACCCCCTAGCTTTTTCCTACTACACATGGGTCATGTGTAGTTACGTATAATAAAAAAAATAAGCAAAGAACAATACGAAGCGCGATAAAAGTAAAACTCCGCCCGTAAATTTTCTACACAAGATACGTATTGTTCTGAATATGGCGGCGACCGTAAAGTTGCGACCCCCGTTTAAATAATGTTTGTTACTAGTGAGGCGAGTACGACCGAGTAACCCTATTGAGAAGGGAAAAAAGGGGGCCAACAGGGCCAATACGGAATCAACCCCTTACTAAACTCCGCGAATGCCGGTGCACTTTGCCATGCTAAAAAATACACTCTTCGTCAATAACGATAACGCATTCCATTAAAGAGTTAAAAACGTGAACTCTTTAGAAGATCTTGGTGTGGTTATCGTATATAATACTTTTGTTTTCGCTAACTGTAGAGATCCTCCGTGCCCCGGAATCATTGTGGTACAACTTCATGGACGCTTCTTAACTTCCTAGCCGTTCCACTTTGAATGACTAGAGCTCTTTAGCCATTTCCTATGACGTTAACCCACCCTCCTTTAACGTTTCGGCACCACCAAGGCTGCCGCGCCACCAATAGAAGTTCGGTGCAATTTATTTTTGTCCAAATAGTTCGTTAGAATACGCCTTTTCTGTAGAAAATAACCCAAAACTCTTAATGCACTTAAAAATTACTATTTTTTAAACATATAAATAATAATAATTCAATATGTACCGAAAAAAAAATCAGGAGAGAACAACAAAATATTGTCTAATGTTTTTTTAATCTTAACGCTTACTTTGCTAGTCGCACCGGAAAGCCAAAAAAAAAGAAATAATTAATGACGCGAAAAAGAGCTTTTCGGTCCCCCTTTTTCTCACTCTTTCCCATTTTAGCGCTAAATAATCACCCCACCGAGATAAGATACTGCTAACAATCTTCTTCGCATTAAAGATTAAAAGATGCTATACTTTTGTAGCGGATCGTAACTATAACTCAAACAAAATCAATTATTAATTGCTAAAAAGTTAAGTTACCAATTTCTATAAATCTAAAAAATAACATAATATATATATTCTATTATTTTAGTAGTAATGATATTAAGAGACAACTTCAAAAATTAAACGATAAATTAGTTAAACTATAGAACTGTGTTAAGAATGTTTACTACTATAATATGTGTTTAGATAAGTTTATAAGTTAACATCAAAAAAAGTTAATTCTTAAACTGCTTGGTTAAGAAGTTATTAAAAATATATTAACTTTGAAGATAATGTAAAGAAGACTTGCCCACGAAAACCAAAGAATAAACTATAAAAACACAATAAATAGTACAATATAAAATAAAAAAATTATCTTATAAAATCTATAGTTGTGCGGAGAAATCTCACAAATAGTATTTTTTATTAGTAATAAAAAATAAAAAAACAATATTATATACAATTAAAAAAGGCAATGTAGAAGACTAACGGATTACTGATGAACGCAGTAACTAAGAATGGCTGAGACCAAGATTAACTCCAACAGCACACTTAAAATAAATAACTTTAAAAGCAATAAATTTTTGGTGAAAAAAAATAGATTTGGACAGATTAGTTGTTCATCAGATTCCCAAAGTTTAATTCGTACTGTAGATAAAGAAAATAAAGAAACGCAAAAAAAATTGCCATTGTCCACCGCTTCCATTTCTCTTTCCAAACAGTCTCTTTTTAGCAGCGGGGATATAAAAAACTGTGCAAACCTATATATTAATAGTTAACAGGAGGTAAAGTGGGATAAGCAAAAAAAAATTATTCCATCAATACAAAAATTATAAAAAAAATTAGATTAATTAATTCTTATAATAATAAAATCTAAGTGCTGACTGTTTTAGAGCTTCTGGAAAGTGGCTTGTTTGACAATCAAAATGAAACACAGTCTCCTCGCAGTCCGTTGAGGCGTTGCTCGATCCGCCCTTAGACAAAATTAACAAATCACAAAAGCGTAGTTTATAATAGAAAAGAAAGACACGTGTTTTTGTATGTATTGAGAAAACGAATTTTCGTCCGGATATAGTTCGGTTCCCATAAAAAGCATGTGCTCCAAAAAGTGAGCCAATCCTTTAAAGTATGAATAACTCAATATATTTCATATATAAAACTAACAATAAAAAAAGAATTTACATCACTCGAACACACTAGTACTTTAGTGTTTCATATAAGATTTTATTACTATAGTAAGACACTTATTTAGTAGTCAAAAAAAATCAGAAAAGTAAAAAAAGTTAAGAATAAAATCTCAAATATCAAAATTAACAACTGGTATAAGAAGTGAAAAACGCTAAAGTTGCTGAAAAACAAACGCAACTAACTAAATTCTCCTTTAAAATTATGTCTTATTTGTGATTTGTTAAATAGGAAATAACATATAAAATCGTAAACTTTGCGAAATTAACTAATCTTATGACTGGGCTTAAGTAGAGAAAACGTAGAGACACAAGTTATGAAACAAAAAGAAAAGGGAAAACAAAGCTAAACCAGGAATGTTGTCAGGTTCCGATAGGCTTCCAACGCCCATGCACAAGGCTGCTGCAGAATTCTTCTGTTTCTTTGTAGTTGTATTATAAAATGTAAATAGTTGATCTCGTGTTTAAAAAATAATTAGTACTTGTTTGCAATGCGCTGAAAAACCAGAATGCGGTTTTTTAAAATTAAAAGTAGGACTTTTTTTCAATTCGTCAGGGTCTGGATGGTCAAAGGGAAAACATTCCTCCAAGTCACCGTCGATCCCATAAGCTTTACATGTTAAACCGGAAAAATGTAACCAACAACACAGCAACCGAACCTTCCTTATGACGGGTAGATAGCTCACAAGAAATCTCATTCTAGATATTAAGAATACTTCATTAACCATATTACTAAAGGTATCAGATAATTACATATATTTTGTGGGAAGTTTTAAGAGAGACAAGAAGGCAAATTAAACCATTAGACAACTTCACTGCCCTATATTGTTTTTCGTCATATTCTGATTTTTCGATAGCTTCGTCAATTATTTCAAAATCAAGAGAAATGGCCGAGTTTGCTAACAATTTGGGCGACATGGTATAAGGTTGCACACCACTAGGTGTTGCTGATGAGAGTTTGTTTGAAAGGGGTGTAAGCTAAGACATCACCTCTATATATCCATGCTATTGTGCTCGTTTCTTTAAATGGTTTTTAAAGTAATTAATAATACTCCCCTCGTAGGTATAAATGAAATATTAGCAGATATTATGTACAGAGCAACCTTTTAATATAAAAAAAAACTGAGCAAAAGGCCGGAAAATTAAAGAAAGCTGGCAAGATGTTATTGATCTTTTTGATATTTAAATACCACCTGCAACTTGCTTCAAAACTTAAGATGCTTGAGAACGGTTATTCTTTAAGTCTTTTTAACTACGAAATTTTAACAAGTGCTGTTTATACTTTACAGCAACACGTTGGCTGTAAGATTGTTTTTTGAGAACTATGTTAAAAATAGGATGAAAATTTCAATTTACCTCGTTTATACAATTGTATTATCCATAGCGAGGCAGATACTATCGTTAAAAGTTCCCCTTATTATGTTTTCGTCTGCCCGATCTTATCTATTTTAATATAACTTAATGTTTTTTTAATAAATAACAATACTCAGCACATTTTTTTTGTGTTGTGTAATTCTTAAAAAAGTTGTTTCTTAAATTTTATTGTGTACGTTTAAGTTCTAGCATAATATTACTTGCTGGTAAATAGTATTTTTGCTTGCTCAGTGCCTTATGCCTTGCAATTGATCATAGGGAGTTGTAAATAATCCGTCAAACAGTTTTTGACAGAACAATCAAATATCAAAGAAAGCTAGATTTGCGAGAAAACAAAAATCAATTTCCAACAAGTTTTTTGCACACTGCACTAGCGACGTAAAATTATTTTGCACCGCAATTATCCCGTTTTTTTAAATCCTTTATATCAGTAGTAAAAATCAATTTTGTTGAAGTTTACGCGAGACCACGTATTTAGTTTTAAATATTATCTAAACGGTTAAATAAACTTTTTTTTTTGCTAACTCATTTTATAAAATACATTTTGACAACAGTTATTTAAGCTGCTTGAGCGCCTTTAGAGGGACAATTCTCTCTTTTTTTTCCGTATGTGCTCGGGCTCTGGCCCGGGTGCCTCACTACTAGTAGGGACAGTTTTTACAAAGAATAGGTTAGTCCTTGAAGAACTATGTTAGCTTGCGTTTTGGGGGAGCTATGTAATGCCCAACTCTTTATATTTTAAATGTTATGTATAGATATTTAGATATTTTGTCAACGCATACTATTGCTGTAAATCTTTCCCCTTTCGTTCTTAGGTATTTCAGTTTAACGCTAACAATCTATGACACTGGTTGTATATTTTTCTTTTATGAGCTTAAACAACTACGTAGATCGCGTCGCTGAAAAACTTTACTAAGGATTATAGAATGGATAGTTAATCCATTTAAATCAAACTTTTAACATAACACAAAAACTTTGGAAAAGTAATATATTATAAGCATTACCTTGATAAAGAATATACACTTACACTTTGCTGGCACTTTAAATACGTTAATTAACTACCTTTAGGAAAAGAAGGGTAATAATATTTCTGCTTAGCAGTCTAGACCTCTGCCTCCCTTCTTCGTCCCTTAGCGAAGATAAAGCTCAGTTTCCAGATTTTAAAAAACGTAGTGACTCCTTATTAAATTTGGTTTCTCGACTCCTTTCTAGGTGTTACTTTTAGAATTATTTGTAATTACTTCTCTTCTTTGGACCCAGTAGTTTTTAACTAGTTGAAATGTCTTTTATCGTAAAGCCTTGGTTTGTAGACTATGTATATAATAACCATGCTCTTTTTAATGTTGCTCAAGTAATAAAAGTTAAAAAAAAGGAAAATGGTAAAAGTAGGCTTTTTATTTTATTTTACTATTTTAAAACTTTGTGTAGGTGACATATGGCTGCATTTAAGCGATAAAGATACTCTTATTGATGCCCTTCTTTTACCATCAACATTTAAATATCTTGAGTAATAAATTAAGTTTTAAACGAAAAATTCTATTATATATATATATTTTTTAGTTCCTTCAACGGAGCGGAATCAATTGAAGGCGGTGTTATTTCATTAATTAAATATAATATTAATTTTTTTGAAAACTTTACAGCCTGTTATTTTTTAGTGTTAGAATTTAAGGTAAAAACTTTAGCGAGACCTTAAAGGAATCAAATGTTTTTTTATAACTAAATAAAACTTTTATAGTTTCTTGGTAGTGACGGCTCGGCCAATTTTGGGAAAAAAAAACTTATTTATGTTTACGAGAATGCTTTAGTGCAAAAAAGACTCACCTTTGAAAAATAGTAAAGTTATTACAAACTTTTCTCTTATTACCCTTTAAAAAATAATACCAGCTTCTTAAAATTGAAGGCATCTACTGGAAAAAATCGTAATTTTTTTTAACTTATAAGAAGGTACAAGTGTTAAACTTTTTTTTTAAAAATTGTAGTCTCTGTGGATTGGGACGCTTATATACAAGAAAATTTACTTTTAACTAAAATACCCGAAGATCAAAAAATTATTCTTGAAGGTTTATTAAAATTTTCTAAAAGTAGAATAAGACTTTTTATTTTTCTATATTATTACATACTTAATTTAAATAAGTTTAAATAATAAATTATATAACCTGTAAAATCTAGTTAAATTGCATTTTGTAATGTTAACTTAAAGATCAACTACAATCTCCAAGTTCTTCACAAAACTCTGATTGCGAAAGTATTCCAGAGTATAATACATATATTATTATTATTTATAAATTTATAATAATATATTTTTTTAGAGATATGGAACCGGAATCTTCCATAACAACACCCGTACGTGTATTTATATAAAAGCTTTTAAATATAATATAATAATTAATATTTATTTGTAAAAGAACCTTCAAGATTGCGCTGATTTCATTATTAAAGATTGTGAAGAGTTTGAAGAAGAAGCACAAGAATTCAATATAAAAAATATATATGGCAAAAGTCCTCAGAGTCCCAAGGAAGATTCTTATACCTACTGCTCTCAAGAATTAATTACTCAACCCCCTTTACTTGGTAATTAATTTTTTTTAAAAAAGTGCTACTTTTAAAAAAAAAAACGACGTGAGTTTTATTAACTAAAATTAATAGACCCAAGAAGTTGCGTGTTGTCCACAGAAGCTCAAGATTCTCACGTACTCGACAAGATTAAGGAAGACAATTTTATTGATGAAAATAGTTTTCAAGATTCTGAAAAACACAAAAATAAATCCCCTTATTCTATCATACCACGTGAAAACAATAAAGAAAATCTTATCATAAACTTTCCCTCCCCCGTCAAATTCTCTGAAACAATTGGTAGATGTGATGCAAGTGAACTATATAATGAAAGTAAAAATGAAGCACCTAAAAATTATTCTGAAAGGGAAATTAATCCTGTTCTTGAAAATAAATTAAATTGTAATAAAAGTTTTGGATGTTCTGTCAACGGCAGTTCTTCTCCTTTAAAAGAAGACAGTAGTGATTTTAATTCAGGATTCGATGCATCCTTTTCATCAATAAGTAAAATTTCTCAAGGCAATGAGGCTTTGGTATCGGAGTTGGAAAAAGGCAGTGAAAGCTCGGAAGGCTGCGCTGCTCAAACGGATTTTATACCGCCTAATCATCCAGCAGTTTCGCATTTAGTTGAAGAAAAAGATTTTTTAAGGGAGCAATGCTTCCACTTTTCACTCAACTATTTTAAAAATTTAACTCTGAAATATCAGAACAAAATTAGTTCTGAGTACTAAATTCTGTTTTCTTTAAGCTTGTAAAGACTAACTTTATACTAATAAAATTTTTCTTTTTCGTTAACCTGAAAAACTATATTTAATTTTTTAAACAAAAATATAAATTTTTAGTAGGAAAATAGCCTTAGCAAACAGATTAACAATCCTTTTTAAATCACTACGGTGTTAATATATTTACACTACCTTATTGTACCTTTAGAAATAAAAGCCCTAAATTGGGTAGAAAAGTGGAAAACAACCAGGTAAATTCTCATCTAGTTAACGCCTGTCTGCTGCAGGCTTTATTAATTTTTTTTTTTAAATTGTATAGGTTTAAAAATTGCAAAACTATATTCTTCGCACAAGCTCTTATCTTGAACAATTAATTGTAACTGTGGAACTGGCATAAATCGCAAGGTAAAATTAGTAGTGAAACCTTCTTAATAGAAAAATAGATAAAAGTAACTTGAGTATGTTTTTAATATAAAAAGGACTAAAATTTAAACTTTTATAAGTGATACTTCTAAGTATAATGATTCTAAAATAACTTCAACCTTTATTGAACAAAATTTTCTTGCATTATATATAAAGTTGTTTTCCTACCCGTCAAAATATTATTTACTTGGAAAGCTCGGTTTATAAATCCGTTATAATTAGGATATATTGTAAAAGAAGGTTAATATTATTATATAACTTAATGAATATAAGAAAAACATACCGAACGAAATAGTAAAGTTTATCGAAGCCTGATGACGTAGATAACTATTAAAAAAACATTCAGCTTGTTCTAATCTTTAAAAAATACTTAATAATCAAGGATCTAATTTTTAGTTTCTTTTTTTTATAGCTTAAATTACTTTTAAATTTAATAAGAAAATTGTTTGTTTCAAGTAACGAAGGCAAAAAGTTACTTGTATTAAATTGATATCTAAACGCCACTCAATAGTGCCCAGTTTACTAGTATTTTCATGGGGCCCCTATGAAGTTGATTCATTTTACAAAAAGAGGAGTCAGCCTTTATATAATCTTTAGATATTCGCAGATATTATAAAACAAAATACGGCCGACGAGCTAACAAGAGAATCAAAACAAAGATCTTGTTTTAACTGCAAAATTATAACTATTCAAAAGGTATTAATTTTCTTTACAATAGTAACTTTGTTGTTTTAAGATAAGGATGACTCTTTTCGAGTTTTAGAATTGCTATACAAATGCCCCTCAGCCAAATTGCTTCGCTTACCTTTAAAAAATAACAATTTTCAAACTAGTAGATTTTTACATAATTTAAAATACTTTGAATAGCAGCTAAAAAGTAAATACGGTCTAAAGGTGAACCAATTACAAAAAATAATTAATATGACCTCGCAAAACACACAACGGTTTCTTATGCATGCAATGCAAGTTTATTTACAATAGCATGCTTTTTCTGGAATATTGTTTGAGCAACAACAAAGAAAAATAATTCTTTTTTAAATGATATTTTCTTAAAATCTTCAATTCAGTTACTTTCTAAACCAACTTTCCCGAATTAATAAATCATGGTAAAGAATTGGTGTGCCCACGTCTAATAACCAATATAACAAGATTTACATTTAAGGAAACTTTAATGATTATAAAAGTATTTTAATTTAAAATAATTTACTGTCAAAATAAATATTTCGAATAACTTTATATATTACAATCATGGCACAATAAATAATGAGAGGCATGAGTTTTGTTCTTTGTCCTTTTTCACTGTTTTTTAATTTGTTTTTTACTTCGCTCTTTATATCTACCCCTTTAAATTTTCATATTAGTTTTTAAGTAGTAGAGTGGCAACCACTTTTCTAAGTCAGTAGGGTATATGAAGTTCAGTTTGAGGGATCACTCAAAATTGGTAAACAAATGACTCGCTTAAGCTCATTTTTGGGGTATGAAGAGACTTGGTGATACTAGATTAGAGTCATACCAAGAGCGGTGTAAAAATTTCTCAATAAAAGTGTCTTTTTTGTATTACCTTTAACTACAAGCTTTTCATAACAAAAAAGTGACCAATAAGTATAAAATAATATAATCAAAATTTTTTGGTCTTTAAACACGAAAAATGAATCTTCCTCTATCGAAACAACTAACGTCGGACAAAACTTAAGTTACCAAAAATAGAAGAATCTCTTTTAAGATACATCTAAACAATTGTTCTAATAAGAAAACTTAACAAAAATTTAAATTTTCCGGGGGGGGGGTAATATTTTTATAGCAATAGTTTGTTTTTCATCTACTTTTCTTTTAGTATAAACACAATGGCATTTAACCATAATAATTCTAAATAAAAATTATGCAAAGGTTTTACAAATAACTCAAGGCGCTTAATTCGGCAAATGAGCCATCCTATACTGATTATATGCACTTATAGATAAGAGATCAATTTAAAAGTGTAATAAGTTTAAGCGAATATTCAAGCAAAGAGAAAAAATAAACATAAAAATATATACTAGTACACTTCTACTCTTTCCAAAAATATATCAGTAGGGGGTGGTCCACTTGAGCTAAGCGCTTTAAATTATTAATAAATCCTCTATATAAAATTTTATTTTCTAATTCTCAGGCTAAATTCTAATTTGTTGTACAATAAAAAATATTAAAAATCAACTTACTGCCATAGGAAAAGCAATGACTCATTTTCGGAAAATTAAGAAGTTAGTAACTTTGAATAAACTTATGAGAACAAGTTGTTGAATGTATATTATAATAAATCCTTTATGCTATTAAATGACTTATTTATTTAAATTGGTTAAGTTTTGTAAAATTTTAAAGATTTAAATTATAAATTAATGTTACAATGGAATACTTATAGTTATAAAAGAAACTAGAAAGACACCTTTATACATAAATTTTTGCTTTATATAAAGTACAAAAAGATACTTACGTGAAAACCAATTAAGCCTTATTTAAAAATAAGTGTTTACAAATCCTTCTTCTTTATAGTTTTATGTTTTTGATTTATTTGCATATAAAGTAAAATTTTTATATTGCTATTATAATATTGTGCTTATTATAATTATTAAAAAAATTTCTTTATTAATTTAGACTATAAATAGGTTTCAAAATAAACCCAATAATTGACATTGAGCAAGACCTCTTTAGTAATATGACTAAAATGAAAGCAAAATTGCTGTTTTATACCCTTTTCTCTCCTCAAGTTAACTTTCTTTTAAACATTTATCAGACTTATTAGTCTAGATAGAAATTTTCTTTGCTGCTCAGGCCTCATTATGAAAAGCTAGCTTATAATACTAAACAATACACATAATAGGGAAAATTAAAGACTATTATATCTTTGATAAAAATAAATGTGATACTTTAGAGTTTCAGAATTCTACTAATCGATAAATACAAGTCACTATGCCGATAGTCTCCCCTTCGCCTACTACCCCTCTTAAAGAGCGTTAGCTCAACTCAGCGGAGCCATATAAAAAATTTTCAAATAAATCTATTGGCTGCACTTAGCTTAGTCTTTGCCTGATTTTTTTAAACGTATATAATAAACGAAATTTACACAAATTTTGTTTATTATGTAGTCTTTCTGTATACTTTAGCCTTCTAAAGCAGTCTTTATATAAGTTGTGCTCAAAGTGTATAAATGTGCAACGAACTGGTTCTCGCAGATTACAAAATACCAAAAAAAAGGGAAAAAGAGCGACTATTAGTAGCCCCGTAAAAAAGGTAGTTATTACCTCTCAACAAAGTACACTACAAAGTAACATGTGCGATGGGAGGTGACTATTGGTAAAAGCGCAAGATAATAAGCACGTCTTGTATACCGTGAAAAAGTGACTAGACAGCTATGCAGTATTGTCAGCCGTTGGCAAAGGACGTGGTACTGTCCATAAGTTCCAGGTTTTAGGATGTTAAAAACGACAATAATTAGTAGTTTTCAATTTTTTTCGATATAATCTCCTTGCTTTTCAATACACAACTATATCGGTAATTTTCATTTTTTTAAACTTCCATAATAGAGTTTAAAGTTTTGTTTTCAAAATGTGCATAAACGGCTGATTTTACTTTATTATCTTCGTCAAATCTCTTCCCCCTTAAGCCCGAGTTCAGTTTTGCAACTGGGGTCCAGGACTGGACTGAAAGGTGGATGGTCCAGTATAATTAAGCCACACTCACGAACTTCAGCTTTAGCAACTGTAGCTGTATGAAACGGAGCATTGTAGGACAGAAACTTCACACCTCGTCTAAGCATTCCACGCCGTTTTTTTGATGACATCACATAGTATATATAGTAAACTTGCTTAATACAACCCATTAACGGCGGTGTCCCTCGTTAGAACCCATCATCAAAATCCCATGGAAACCATGGCCATAATTTTTTTGTTTATGGGGTCTTCTAGCTTTTTTTGGTGGTGGTTCATCACGAAGACACCACTACATTTATACTTTTTTCGACTGAAGATGCTCCAAATATCCACGACAGCAACCCACACTATTAAAGTGGGGTGAAAAGTTTGGGTATCCCATCTTGCGCTTACTGTTTGTCATATGTAAATGGTCGTGAAGAATTCGAATAACCGTAATTATAAAAAGATTGGGGGATTCTGCAATTTTCTTGGTCTTCAAAAGGCGATCACCTAGTAGTTCTTCTTGAACAAATTTTCTGGAGTGACCACTTCTGCTTCAATAGAATCTCTCCTAAACGAAAAGCTTTCACCATTCTTTTACTTTGGTGATTGTCAGCGAAGAATCGCCATGAACATTATCCAAACTTGCTTAAATACTGTAGGTTTAACGCCCTCTTTAGTAAGAAACTTTATCATTGATCTTACTTCACGCCTAAACATTTTTCAAAAATTATTAACACGACACCCTTAGTTTATACTTTGACGTTTGAACAGAGAAAGGAGAAATTTCTTTTACAAGTTACTGAGATATGAAGATAATTGATAGCATTTAAAAAAAATCTGCGCATTTTAACTAGGGAGACCGAAATTTATGGACTCTACCACGGACCTGGCAAATCCTGCCTGGCAGATTATGACCGACCCGTGCCTACAAGTTAAGTAAGCAGTAAATGCTATCCTTCTTAATGTCGAAATAGCATTTGACCTAGTTTGGCACATTGGCTTTCCTTACAAATTGCACGCCCTACTGTGCGTTTTAGTGTGGCCAATGTTGGCTTAAGTTCCTCAAAGTTAATGCACTTGCGAACGATGCGTAAGCAAATTAAAAACTATTAATAACTGTGGCCCTATAAGGTTCCCTTCCATCTAGCGCTTTGCACTATATCTCATAAACGTATTGTTTTTTATGAGGATATACAGTGATCTACTCTCCTACAAACTCGAAGGTTCTGCAATGCTATTTAGTGACGCTCGCCAGCTAGTGTTGTCGCTAAAAAATTACTATTGCGAAAAATAGCACTCTCCCAAGGTCTCCCCAGACCAAATCTTTGGGATCATCATGAATAATAAGCGCAGCAGCTCAAATTCTTAATCTTTGTGTTGTGCCAGAAGCAAGCTCTCGTTGCAAACTCGCGACGTTTGTGTATGGTGCATCAGGCCAGTCTTGACATGTGCATCTGTTGTCTGGGGCTACAACTCACCTGAAAAAACCTTTTCGCTCCATTTGGGACAAAACAAACCGCTGCGCTTTGTGACGGGTTCGCAGTATTCTGTTCGAAACGAGGCCTAACGTCAAGGCCTCCAGAGCAGGTCCCTTGTTATTATTTTTGAGTGCTAATACCACCTCCGAATTGTTTACTCAGCGCATTATCTAATTAGTGAAAGAAAGGCTCAGTTACAACCCATGGAAAGGCACCAAAGGGCTTTGGAGTTATATTATATTTATAACAGGGGGTCTTGTTAAAATAAAGCCTTAACTTATAAATATTCTTTGATTACTAGATAATTACTAACAACTATTTTAAACAGTTGTTTACTAAAATGATTACCCCATAGACCAGAATGTTTAACGTTTAACTAACAGTTGAATTACGCACCGGTTCTTGAATATATTTAAATGGTAGCAGCTATTTCTAAACAAAACAAAATACAAGAATTATGAGTTTATTCTTAAAACCCTCCTATCAACTTAATCAATAAGTCATCTACAAATTTCACTTATTACAAAACACCAGGCAAAGAAAAGTTTAATAGACCGAATCTAATTTCTACGTCTTAGTAAACAACTTTTTTAAAGTATAAGTTGCTTTCACGGTATTAGTTTTACTTGAAAAAAGTTGCAAAGCTTGGTAGCCTTTATAGTTTAACCTTTTAAAAGATTGATCTCGAACTTTTATACTTTAATATAAGTAAACCTTTTTACATAAACTCTTTTTCAAATCTGTGAAAAAAAAAAATCAAGATTTATATCCCAGTCTGATAAACGGGTTTCAAAATAATAAATTTGTATAAAAGAATTGTTTTTTTGTTGCCTCCGCCGGCTAAATTTCAAACAAATCTACTACCGAGGAAGATGACGTGGTTCCCAGACCTCGAATTTTTTTAAATCATAGCTCGAAAGTTTCTGATTGTACACTAACAAAACCTAAGCAAAAAATTATAGCTCCAAAATTATCTCGGGTTTCTTGCCGTCCCCGTTACTTATAATTAGCGCTGCTTGCAAGCTTAATATATTTCAAGTTATTTAACTGACTTGAGAGCGACTTAGTCAGAGGACGTGGTATATACGGCTTGCCCTAATCACGTGGAGAAAAGCTCATCTAGATCTAGTTGGCAACTTTTATGCAAAGTGTCTTTCGTTTAACGTGATTTCAAACGCTTAAACGAGGTAATTATTCTTCTCAATAACAATCTCCTATCGAATGGGCATAATACTAAGCGTTGTTTTAAAAGTTCAATTTTGTAAACACCTGTGGTGCAGATTATACTTCTTAAAATGCACGGAGAAAAGCGGCTCAACACTACTAACAAACTAAAATAATGATGACTTTACAGAGAAAAAAGCTCTAGAAAAAGCAACCAAGCAAAACGCAGGAACCGAAGCTATGAACTGACTGCTTTTTAAAATATTATAACCCTCTTTTGATGAATAATTCATTAAAGTATTAAAAAGACCGCTTCACTAATTCTGTTAACGATATAACGACTGACATTAGAGTGCTTCACCAAACTATTACAAACAATTACTTTTACGTACACCAGTAGGAACCGAAAAAAAGGTATTTACAACAATCCAAGCTTAAGGAAAAAATGAGCTGTAGCTTACTTTTAAAAGGGTGTTATGTAAAATCGCGCTTAATCAAGTGTTTATAAACTGCCTTAAACAATTGTTTTCCAACGCTGGTGTTAAAGCTCTCCAATATATAACAAAAGTCTCCCGCTGCTTTAAAGTAGTGTGCATTCAGATTTATTACATAAAGCCTAAAGACCAAAGAGCAGAGCGTCATTAAACATCATACTAACAAGTGCAACATTCAGCATATTTACAAGTTGACCTTTCAAAAATAGAATAATCAAAAGAAGCAGAGAAGTAAAAAAGATTGAACCAGCTAGCATAGCCTTGAGTAGATTCTTTGATACAAAGGAAACTTTCTGAGGAGCAAAGCAGGAAAAAAATCCGAGCTGAATGCCCATAGATCCTTGACAAGCGGCACGTATATTAAGGTAAACCCCCAGGAAAAAAAACAAAAACGGGGAGGCAGAATGTACCGAGATTGGCAAACGAGCACAACGCGTAGATGGCGAGGATAAACGACTTCTCGGAGATGAGACTCGAACTCTGGCGATTCTGAGCAAGCTCTTCTAAAGCAATGAGTTCGTTGCCGGTCAACTTCAAGCCCAGCAACGCTGCAACTGTAAGGCCTTTAGAAAAGTGAGCACCACAATAAAAGAGAAGTCGCTGTAAAAAAGCAAACAGTGCTCCGGGGGGATCCCAACAATAACGCAGAAGGGATACAGCAGATACTGAAAGATTTTCTGAAGGGAAAAGCCGGGGACCTAAGCCAAGGCAGGCTCGCACCTTTGAAAAATAGAGAAGGGAGAGTTCGTATTAAACAAACTCCGACGAGGTCCCCAGCAGATCGAAGGAAGAAGTTGACTAATGCTATCAATGAAACAAAGGCTATCATGACAGCCGCTATATTCAGAATAACAGGAGCTGCATCCACCGCGCCTGAGAAGAAACTGCATCGTCAGGAGCGCTAGTCGATCGTTTTCGAGACAAACCTTTAGCGGCAGCTTCAATAAAGTTTATACACTTTTTCTCTTTCTCCTCATCCTCAGCAGTCAATTTCTCTTGGTCTTTGCTTTGATCCTCCGTTTCAGGGTAAAGCAGCTTCGAAACCCTTAAGCGAAAAGAGCGATATTGACAAACACCGCACTATAAAAGTTATATATTACGCAAGAGATGCAGGGCACGCCATAAAAAAGGAGGTTATCAGGTGGTAGAAAGGCGCGCCCTGCTGATTGTAAGCTCCCAGCAACTAGCAAATGTAGAATATTTCAACAGGGTCAAACCGGGAAGAGAAGAAGAAAGACTCACGGAAACCGATGACGTTGCGAATCCACCTTACCCAACACAATAAAATCTAAATAATACAGAAGGAATAAAAAAGATTCACTCGTCATGATGCAAAAAAGTTCAGAGCGGGTCAAGGTGGGAAGGTAGGGCCGCACAAGGAGAGGCGCCTCCGTCATAGACAACATGATGTTTGCAAAAGCAGTAAGAGTCTCGTGGCTGCTGGTACCTGGTCGTTTAGAGTATAAGCTGCTAAGATTTGCGGAAATTACAAACGTACCGATGATAAAGCGAAACAAGACCGTTACGTTTTTACAGAACCACTGAATGGCTCCAAAGTGGTACAAAGTAGAAACCACCGAAGAACAGAAGATAACGACGGGAAGCGCCGAAAAATCTGTCAAGTTTTTTATAGGAGAAAAAAAAAAGTAAAACGGAAATAGACCACTTACAAAATATGTGTCTTTCAGCTAAAAAACCATAGACCGTAGTGGAACCTAACGAAATATTCGAGTGAGCATAACTAGTAGTAAGTACTATTACGATTTCATACCCTTATCCGCGAAAGACACAAACCGCTGAAACGCGCGGCCAAGCCACAAAAACAGATAGCGGCCAGGTTTGGTTTTTAAAACAAAAATAGCAAGTAAAATTTGAAAAGTAAAACCTGAACAAAAAACGATTAGATTAAAAAAAATAAAGGAAGGGAGGCAGGCACCAGCAATAACGGGTCTCCAATTCACTCGAAATGGATGTACACTACACGCCCACATAAGAAAAACTAAAAAGAAAAATCCTGCATCATACAGGTTATATAAGATTAATTAAGGTAAGACATACCATAAACAAAAAAAACCTGCCACGGGGATTAACTTTGTAGGGTTCGTTCGAACTTCCATCACAATAATAAGTAATACTAAAAAAAGAGCAAGCAATAGAGCAAGCAAACAAAGTTTAGTGGGCCAAGGATGCTTTAAAAAGACACGATCTAAGACGTAGCAGGGAGGATTTGTAATTAAAATTGTAAACAACTTGCGCACCTAACTTTTTCTTTACAGTGTGAAGGGAAGGGCGAACCCGAAGCCACGCATAGTGTTTAAAAATAAATAAGGCTATGCAAAATATAGTAAATCCAAAGAGGCCCTGTGTGTCATAGACATATGTAAAACCAAGTAAAACAAAATCGAAGCTTGTATACCCAAACGGTGGGGGTTTTTTTGTGAAGAAAGGCAAAAATTAAAAAAACAAACCAGCCTACTTATTACATTAGCACGGCTTATTATCGATAAAGACAAGATCATACCTAGAAGCAAAAAGAACTTAAACGCCAACCATATTTTGCTCTTGTGTTTAATAAAAAAGAATTTTAAGGAATGAAAAAATGAAAAAACTTGGATGGAGGAACGATTTTTTTTTTTAACATCTTCAGGATCAAAGGGCTCTAAGCAAAAAAAAACAAAAAGACACTTACGACCATAAACGAAAAGCTTCAAAGACCGCACCGTAAATTTTTAAAGACCCCGAGGCAGTCAACTTGGCTTGAGGGCCTACACCCTCACCGGCCATCGCTTGGGAAACAGAGGGAGAGATCCACAAGACATAATGTCGCAGCCCTTATATATGATTTACCAGAGGCATTTTAAGGGGGAAAAGTTTAAGGGACAAAAAAATGCTTCAAAGCAAATTAAGCTTAATCCTGCCAATTGTCAGCTACATTCTGGAGATTTGTTTCCGAGTTAATTTAAACTACAGTAATCTTAAAAAAACAGGTTATAAAGATATCTTACTGAAGCGATAATCGCAACCTAAGTTTTTAAGCTTTACAGTGAGAATACGTTACGATAAATGAGAGATTGCTTATAGGAAAAAGGGAGGTGCAATTTAAGGTCTGTTAGGATGTTTGTAGAGATATTTCTCCCATTTATCCAGAATTTACTATTTGTGAAAGTTTTTTTAAACGCTGGTTAAAATACTAACCAATCCAGCTCGCGTTGTTAAAATAACTATTGTTTACCTCGCTTATATCACTATTTTTTTTTACAAAAAATTTTTTTTTAAAACAAATCGCATTGGCAAACTACGGCTCAACCTTAAAGATCGTCAGCCAAAGGCTACAAACGAGCTGTGGTGCTTATTATGGCAGCTAGGGTAACGTTACTGGACATTCTATCGTTGCTTTACTAATTTTAGGGAATAAGCCGAATTGTAAGTTGGTGTGCTACTTGAGATTCTATTCAGTTGTGTGGATTTATATTTTCTTTCAAATTATTACAAACTAGCTTGTCGCCCTTTAATTATTATTAGCTACTGTGAGGTAGTACGATTTGAAGAAAGAGGATTATTAAGCGCCAAAATTGATATATAGTGATACTCAATATAGGAAGTGAAGTGAAGTTGTTAAGGATAGTAAAGAATATATAAAAGTTAATAAAAACTTATGTAAAGCGACAAAACCATTTTATTGTAACTATTAATATATTTAAAAACAAGTAACAATAAAATTAAAAGGTTAAATTAGATAGAAGGTTAAAAAGGGCCTGAAAACATAACTAAACCAAACCTAGGATAAACTCAAAAATTTAACTTTTGATTTGACTCCTTTTATACTTAACGCAAAAGTACCCCTCCTGGCTTGAAGACGTAATATAGGCAGCTTCCTCCTTTAAAAACTCCTAATCTATTGTAGGGAAAAATGTCCTTACCCATTCAGGTACATATGGTTATGATAAGATATTATTGTCATACTTTTAACTACAGACAAACTTATTAAAATAACTTTTATTGTGTACAAAGAAGATAGTATTATAAATAAAACCCAAGGATATTTAGAATGCAACTTATAAAATGAAGTTAAGGGCGGTTTAGTACTGAAAAACTAATGAAGAAATTTGCGTGTAAGAGAGCTTGGACCAGCATCCGGTTTATGGCGCCAAGAAAAATACCCGAACAAGTTTAATTTTTCTTTTTCGAATCTGGCGGTCTAAGTAGTTATTACTTATATATATGGGATTAAAGAGTTAAGTAAATATATTTTACTTGTAGAATTGGTTATTACATCTGTTAAGGAGGTTATTAAACTTAAACTTCATATAATTTCCTGTCTTTACAAGCTGGGGTTTTACTTTTTGGTCTCGAAAAAAAGTCGTTTTTTTAAAGGGCTTAATCTCTTCATTGATTTAAAAGATAAGTAGAAAAAAGTTAGTTGCCTTTATTAAGATATTTGGTCTAAAGTGAGATGTGTGTATATGAACACACAGCCAAAACTCGCTAGGCTCTTAACAGATCATAAGTGTTTTCGAGTTTCTGAATAAAAAGTCCTTATAAAAATATAGTAATTTTACTACTTTGTCTTTTTTTCTATTGCTAAGAGTTTTATCATGTACTGCTTTCCTTCACTTAGTATATCTACTTATAATATTAACAGTATTTAGGATAAGCAATTCTGTTCTAATGTTTTTGAAATGGTTACATAGTGTCATACATAGTTATTTAAATTTTGGAGGTAGGGCTGTGCAGCAGAAATATAATTTAGTTACTCAAGCTCCTAAAGCGTAACAGAGATCTAACTTTAGTTATCTAGTTAAGCTGGGTAGGCTTACCTTAAAAGTAATAATAAGTCAAGTATATAAGGCAACACAAACACGCTTATCTTCATCGGTAGCTTCATAAGCAGTAGGGATTGATTTACCCGTGTTTCGCAACGTCCACAAAACTATTTACAGCCCGTAAATAAACTAGCCACGCGGGTACAAAAACAAAAGCTATATTTATTAACCAATTTCAATTGGGTAACTATTTTATTAAAATTTAGGAATTTTTTTGACCATAGTCCTCGAAATTTTTTAATTGTTCATCATAACTAGAAGTTTGAAATTCGGGCAGAAGTTCCCAGCAGTCCTTTAATAAGCCCTGACCATGTTGCTGGCAAATCGTCTGGAGGACCGACTTTAAGAATTGCAGAGGTTGACTACATATGTTAAAAAGAGAAAGACTTCAATTTAAGTGGCTTGTTAAAATAACCAAAATTAATTTTTTTTATAAACAAAACTTAGTTAAAGTATTCTTTTCACCTTGTAAGTCTCATCAAATCCTTTGTTAAATAGTAACGCTGTTTTTCAAACAAACTAAATAGCTCACTTCGAAGTTGGTCTTCAGGTTTCCTTTATTCCGTTGTTGAATGGGTAATAAAAAGCACAGTTTTTAATTTTACTGGCTATTAACTTTAACTAAACGCAAAGGAGGACCTCACGTATTTATGGCTGGGAGATCGGCTTTCTCTCTGGGACTCCAGTTTAATGTCGTGGATTTTACTGTAAGAGCTCACCGTTTGGCGGGCATTCTCGAGGCCCTTCGGCACTTCACGTTGCTCGCTCTTTTCTTTTCTTTCAAAAAGAACTTTCTATAAAAGTCTAGATAAATTAAAAAACTTGGCGTTAAAAACGGTCTTTAATAGACCTGATATTCGTAATCTTCTAAATCATGAGTGCAAGAGGCTTGAAAGACAACATTTCCTGTTAAAAAAAATAAAAATTAAATTTGGCAAGGTATAAATGGGTGGTAGCAGCTAAATCCGATGCAAATACATATTATTTACATATGTATCTAAGAATGCAACAAGTAAAAATTTGCATAATAGAACTGTTAAACATTCTAAATAACGGACCTTCAATAAGGATATCTTGATCATCTTTTTCAGAAAAAATGGATATATGCATTTCCGATTTTATTTCTTAAAAAAAAGAACTATTAATTGTTGTGAAAAGTTACTGTTTTATATTAAACCTTTCAGCAGATATTGTTTTCCACCTACGTGTATAGTCATTTTTGGGGTCTTCTGAAGTTCCCTCAAAATCCCAATAAAAATATATACAGCCATGTCAAAGATAAACTTGTTCAGCATAAAAAAGGTAGATACAATTAAGTTTCAAATAACTATGATGTACTGAAAGGAAAAAAAATAGTATCATTTAAATAAATTTTGAATACTTTTTACGGTACAGCCGAAGGCTGCCAAGAACTTCACCTGGATTTGGGTTTTTCCAGTCTATGTCTCTAAAAATTAAAAAAATATTAAAGGCGTAACTGGAGGTTAAGGTAATAAACCTAACCGAGGGACTTTTATAAGCCAAACGCGGCGAACAGGCTTCTCAATTTTAACTATAGAAGGCCTAGAACATTGTTGACACCTTATTTAAATTCATAATAAGCGAATTTAAAGTTAAAAACAATATTATATACTCTTCGAGTTTAGAATCAGTAAAATTTATATTTCCCTGTAATTCCGTGTCTGATATTTCCATGTTTTCATTAAATAAAAAGCATACAGTTTATGAAACTAGCCAAATAGGTATATACTCCCAGCGTAGCGTTTACGTTGAGACGGTCTCCGAGACTGTTAATTTCCCCACCCATGCCCATGTTGAGGAGGGCTTTGAGTTTTAACAGAGACAACCGAAACTGTTAAATTTACCACTAAGAATGGGGGGGTATCCCAAAGCGATAGAGGGGAGGGGTCGAACAGGGGCGTTCTTTACACGCACCGCCAATTGTTATTGTCTACTTGTTTAGCTGTATCCTCTTCATTGCTACATTATTGCCAAAAGTAGTCGAGGCCCATATCCAAAGTCTTTTTTGGCATTTTGTCTGAAGGGGACAAAAAGGGAATAACTCTATTAAAGTTAAATTTTTTAGAGACTAACACCCCAGATGATTTTACGTGCACTACATTCATAGAATTCAATTTAGGCCCTTATGAAAACTATATGAAAGTTTAAATGTTTTCTGAGTAATTTAACAACCGTAAATAGTATGTATTTAAAAAAGACTCTTAAGAATGAATTATTATAGCTCTTTTTGTTTTGATATTTGTTTTCTTACTGTTCAAAAAGAAGGTAGCTGTTAAAATAAAGGGAGAATATATCGAAGAATAAAATAAATGTGCACACGAACACTAAAAAGATAAAATCACGAGAGCAAAAAAATAAATTAAAGAAAAGACTATTTTATTCGAAATTAGTAATCGCTTTTTATTTACATTTCACAAAATAATTTAGCGTTGTTAAAATTCTTCTAACAAAAAAATAAATACGCACACGAACACTAAAAAGATAAAATCACGAGAGCAAAAAAATAAATTAAAGAAAAGACTATTTTATTCGAAATTAGTAATCGCTTTTTATTTACATTTCACAAAATAATTTAGCGTTGTTAAAATTCTTCTAACAAAAAAATAAATACAAGTATGTATATATTTAGAAACATGCGTTTGCACGAATTGTCCACATCTATTTTCACAGTATCCTAAATTGAAGGATCGTTAAATTGACAGTTACACCTCATATTGTTACCTCTACAATCAACTAATTATTTATTTTTCCATACTAATTTATAGCCACCCATCTAGCCTTCTGGAATGGTTACTAAACTAAGTCGGTTTAAATGAACAATGTTCTTTAAACTTCCTCTTTCGTAAGAACAATGCAAATTCATGACCAGCAATTTTCTCAATCTAATTTCAACCACTTGATTAGTTTTTGCAAGGTATTTCTTAAAAGAAATTTGTACTCCTTCAACGCTGTTGTACTAACTAATTAGACAATACCTTATCGTACCTTTTACCTAGCTGACCAGAGGAGTCACAAGCTCCTTACTTGCCATGTACCAAATTAAGGTTTAATTGGCCTCTTAGAGGCATTGTTCTGTCTTAGAGTTTTTTGGTCGAGACAGCAGTAAATGTTTTTTAATTAAAGGACTGCTGGGGTTCCTCTTTGTTTCCTTTTTAAGGTATCAATAGCTTCACAAGGCTATAGAGCTGATAAAAGGCAGCATTTAAAGTGGTATATTTTCTGTTCATAGCATCACTCGTCGCTTCTCTTTCGTTTTATAGGCACGAAAACTAGGAAATGCTGCACGCTCATACCGTTTTCATTACCAAATTATAAGCTTTGCACTACCCTGTTTTAAATTAAACAACTTTGTCAAAAATTAAAATAAAGGTTTTGTGCTTCTGTGCTTAACAATAGCATACTAAAATATATCTTTCTTGGACGTTATCTCTTATTACAGCGCTTTTAATTTATTTGGCGTTTAAATGACGGAACGTAGCACGTATGGATTACCGTTGACCCCTTAATAAGGCATTGACGGCAAAAATACTTTAAAAAGTAAAATATCACCGTTATTACACATGAGAGCCTATTTGTAAACCCAGTAAGCGGTACGTGCCTAGTAACACTAAGATCAAAAGTTACCTAATAAGCAGTTTGAAATATAAAGATATTGTTTCATATTAAATAGTAGCAATTTTAAAAGGGAATATCTAGATGTGATGACTTAAAGATATTAATAAATTAAAAAGTGTTTTTAACCTCCGGCAGTGTTCCCTAGTTTACTTTGTTTAGTAATTCCTCTACAATTTTTTTTTTAATAGGGTCTCTCTACTGGCTAAACAACACCATACTTATAAACTCCCCCAATTACTTTCAAAACTTTTAAAACAATTACCAGGCCACTCTTTAACTCTTCCTCTGGCTTATTTGCAAGATTTTTAATGACATTTTTAAGGCGTGTTTTTTAAAAAATTTAGCAAAGCCACGCATCAGGGCTGTAAGCGTTATTAAAAAGGTTAGAGATATGAAAACTAACATTTTTTAAAAAACGAAACGTAAAATTAGTGGACAGGAGAATAACTTCATTAATTTGTTCTGCAAAGTATTAACTAAAAAGCTTGCGACTTTGGTTACTGAAGTTCATCCTTTTCAGCGACCAGTTATTGAAGAAAGTTTGATTAGAATATTAGAAGTTATGAGGGTGAGGTTAGGTACGCAAACCATCAAAGGTCGAAAAATAATAGTTGCGTTGATGGGAACGCGGAGCCCACGGCCTTCGCTTGACGCGTTCTGGCTCTTAACCGTCAAGCTGCGATCACAGGTGCTGTGATGCATTTTCAATATACCCTATACATAGGTACGTTATACAATAGTGTTATTTACTAGTATATACTATAACTAGCACGGATCGGTGTAACGGTTTACATGTTTAACCGCCTAATGCCCAGCCACCAAATAAAAATACAGTCAGAACATAAAAGGTGGCAACACTTCCTCAAGCAAAAAGCTGGGAGTGCACACATATAAAGCGGGACAAGTTATCTTTCGGAAATGAGCAAATCGTGTTCTGATACTTCGAAATAAGTTTTGTAAAGCATTTTCTTATCAATGTAATTGGGCGACGTCTACTAATTTATACTAATTTTTTACTAATTTTATAGTACAACCATCCCTTCATGATTTAAAGTAGTTTACTGCGTAAATATAATATTAATTATCGAGCTTATCATTGTTAAATTTGGCAATGCGTATGACACCTTTAAAGTCTTTTTGGCTTCTGTATATTGTAGTTTTGTTTTTAATTTTGTTATTTGGCAGAACTTAAAATTTTTTGGTTTATAAAAGTTAACTTGTAGAAGAAGGTTTTTTTTTGGTGCTAATCTGGATCTTGTTAAAGGTTTTCATTATTATTATTTAAGGCAAAAATAAATATAACTACCAAAAAAAAATCATTATTATTTAAGTTCGGACTTTTACTTCTGCTTTAGAGGATCTCTCGAATACCTAAAAAGGTCATTTTAGTTTCCTTTATTATGTTAAAAAACTTTTTAACTTTTTCTGTGATGTTTTCATCCTTGAAATGAAGTTTATAAGGATTATAAAAGTTTTACAGTCAGAATTGAACTAAAAAATATTTTTGTGTTCTTCTGACTTCTGAGTGTCAAAACTAATTCAAAAAAATTTATTTTTTTGTTTGTTACTAGATTGACTGTTTATTTTTATTTTGTTATAAGGGTAATACTTATTTTGAACTTCACAAAGCCAAAGGACGTTACAAACGCACGCCACTTATACAGTTCTTGGATTTGTACAGCTATCAGTAACTAAAAAAGTAACTATGTATTCGGACAGCATTTTACGATTCTATTAGGCTTTTCACTCGTATTTTTTTAAAAAAATTTAATTATATTATAACTTAATTTGAAGCGCACTAATTTTAACTCGAGTTAAAAAGTTATAGCGCTCGGCAACAATATAATTTCTTATTTATATTATACTAGTCTAGTTGAAGTTTTCTGTATTTGGCTACTAGTTTTTGACTTTGTGCTCTCCAATAATTCGCTTTCGCCAGTTGTCTTCGCTCTCAGTTTTAAGAAGGGTAATATAGAAAACATATCCAATGTAGTAAGCACGACTCCTAATAAAATATATATACTTCATTGCCCACAAAAAGAGCTAAAAGTAAAATAGCGAGACGTACCAATATTAGTAATAAAGGATAGTACTGTAATATTCACAAATTTGTCTGATATAACAAAGGCTAGCATCCCAATGCAAGTTGAAATACTTATAAAGATCACGGCTCTCCCATTGACGGTTATATCGGAGTATTTGTATGACAACCCTCTAACAGAAAATAAGTGGGACATTAGCCTGATATGTGCGCTATACATACTATGCTTGTCACCTGCACCGATATATGTACACCCCGACCCAAATTACATAGACAAGAGCTACAAATAGTTGTCCAGAGACAGCATAAAAAGGCACTTTTGCTGAGAACTTTTGTGTATAAAAGAACAATGTTCCAGGGATGATGCCCAGACCGAATAGTAAGATGTGAATCGGGAAATACTTGAAATAAAGCCATTTACTTAAGGTACCTATTGATATTATTTATATATTTTAAAGATTTTATCGCTCGTAATTAGACGTAGTTTTCGTGAACAAGATATTAAAAATAATATTTGGGCTTTACCCTTCCGCGAAGGGTTAAAGGCGGCATATACCACGTGCAAGCGACATATTAAGGCGGATAAAACCAGCGTAAGGGAGAATAGATACAGTATCAAGACTGCGTATAACTGGTTAACTATTTTAGCTTTGTCCTTTCGGAGCACTTCCATCATTGCATTTAACTCTGCATTTGAGGGGGTATTACTTAAGTCCATCTCTGGTGGTTGCACAGGACTGATTTGAAGGAACCCAACGCCTGCCACTAGGAGGGCAGATATCAACATCTTCGTAGTGTATTAATAGTCATGTGGTGCGAAAGTTGAAAGAAATATAAAAAAAATAAACAATAATTTTGTACTAACGAATATTCCAAATGTAAAAAACTGGCATAAAAAGAAGTAGTTTCTGGAGGTAACGTATTTAGTCTTGCGATGGAAAAAGACATAAGCAATCGCCACAAGTTTGATAAACAGGTTGCCTGAAAAAACACCGACAACAATTTTAAACGCTTTTGAGGCCAAATCCCGTATCTTATTATGCTCATCTATACAAAAGAAAAAATTTCTATAAAAAATTATTTATAAAATAGATATTAAAATGTTATTAAAATGTTTAATCTAAATTTATTTAGTCGCGTATCAGAAGACTTAATTCCCTTACTTACTTTGGGTAGGCCATTTATACTATTAGAGCCTTATAAAAAGTTGTTATAGTTATACACTCCACGTATTAAATTTTTAAAAACTTAGGAAGCTGAAGTGGCTTATGCCTAAACTTTTATAAAATACTTATTTAAAAAATTATTGGATGACTCTCCCAACGAGTAGTAGACTTGATTCGATAGACTAAGTATATGGATGGTTTTTAAAGGTAAAACTTTTCTAGTAAAATAATAATTGTAGAATAAATTACGTCAATATATATGCCCAATTTTTAACAGTATAATTTTCAATTAAGCAAGCTATATTACATTAACTTTTGAACTCAAACTATTGGCCGTTAGAGAAAAAGCAATCTAGCTTAAAATAAAACAAATACAGTCAGTACTTTGAAAACCTCATTGCACGTGGTCATTGGATCACTATTTATCACATTTTAAACGTATCATATTTAAAAGCCTCCTACTGTAATTTACACACTTATCCTTACTTAAAACCTAAAGCTATTTGAAGTCGTTACTAGGTGCTCATTTATTCTGCTTGTATATATTTTTATTAGGGCAAAAGAGGGTTAGAACTAGTAACCTATGTTAACTTATTAAAAGTTAAGTACACATCAATATTACGGCTACTAAACTCCTAACGCTCCAAAAAGTATTATTAAATGTAACTTTACCTTTAGCTCTAAGTAGTTTTTGTAGAAGACCTTGGATAGTTCCTTGATCGGCTTTACCTTATTAACATATTATTATACAACATTAATCAGGTGATCATTTATAATTACCTTCAATTTCTTCTGCCAACTGTTCGAAAATGCTTAAAACATCTAATGATGCTTGTACACTCGATTTTTCAGAAAAATTATTTATTACAAATATCGGTGGAAAGTTTATTATCATTAAAACCACGAGTAACACAATATATACGATCCAGCTGTATTTCAAGGTAAAATTTTGCTCCCACTCTTCGTTTTTTGGAAGACTTAAAAATCTTCTAGACATCCGTCTATCCCCCTCTTAATTAGTTGCAAAAACCGTCATTGTTTTAACTATATAAATTTATGCAAATATTTTTTTTTAGAACCTGAAGACATTTTAAATAGCAACAAAAAGTTCCATCAGTAAGCTAAAGTAGTTCCTGACCTTCACCAGACCACAAATAGACGAAGTGTAAACCTTCACGGTCCCTAAACCCTAAATTTCAAATAATCACGTGGTGATTTAACTTTTTTGGGTAAATACTTTATAAAATCTTTATTTAGAAACCAAACTCAGGTTGTTATTTGGTGAAAAGTAAACCTTACATATTAGGAACTATATGGTTAAAATTTGTTACCAAACACTCACAATTAATGCTTTTCGTACAGTTATTACATGCAATTTAAAATATATAAAATAAAGGTTTTTTGGCATTGGCTGGACATAACCTATTAAAATGGGTTATTTCTACTTGAGCTATTCATTCAATAACCTTTTAACTTACAACTTGTAAATAGTATATGTGCTAACTGCCTCCTTTATTTAGTTTATAAGGGTGGTTTAATAAAACAAAATATTAATAGTTAGTAGTCAGTCGGGTGTTTCTAGTTAAAGGGTCTCTGGCGTTTATTGAGTGTAATCCCTTTCTGTCCCGCAACGATACAACCCTGCTCCTGAATAGATTTTATTTCGGAAAATATGTTTAGTTGTTTCGGGTGTCTAAATTTTTTTTTTTAAATAACATAATTAGTAATGTACTCATCCTTTAGAGTTGCAAATTATTTATAAAACTGAACGTTTGCTGTTAAAAGGAACATAATTTTTTTTTTACCAAGATCAAATAATTTATAAAACAAAGCTCTGCGTTATCCAGTGTGCCCAGTTTTAATTTATGAGGCCTTTGTTCTTTAAAAAAAATTAATTAGGTCTTTTTGTAACAGTATTGCATAAGGACACTATTACCCTTTCTCTTTTTTTCCTATCTATTATTACCAGTTTGACAAGTTTAGTGTAGGGTCCTTAATTCTGAATGTTGTTATGGACATTAGGCTAAAACCAAAAAATATTTAAATACATATTTAAATCCTGTTTTTAATGCTATAAAAGTTGTTTTATAGCGACCTCTAGTTTTATGTAAAGTCTCGCAAACAAACAATTATATTTTATATATATGTTATAATATTCAAACAATTTAGCAAGGCTTGTAATTTTAAACTTTTCCTCCTCCCCCTTGCGTGCGACCACTACTATATTTTTTTGTGCACAGAAACCAACGGTTAAAAAAACTACAGGAGGTCAAAAAGGAAAATATCGAAGTACACGCCTCCCACTATAAATACATACACAAGCGATCGCAAAAAGTTAACGTAATTCACTTCCTTAACTTTGATGTTTGTTAACTTTTTTGCTTTTTGTTAAATTCTTACAGCTTTTGTTATAAGAATGTTATGTTTAAGGGTTAGGGTTCAAGTAAAGGGAGAATTAAAAGTTGTATTTTACTGAGAACAAAGGACACTAGGTTGCAATCCCTTAGTAGTGGTTCTATTTTTAAGCTCCCTGGATAAAACGTCAAAAAGCGGTATATTCTAGAGTTACAAATGCGAACCTTTTGCTTATAAATATAAGCATTTAATCTCACCGAAACGCATGTGCTCTGATCACGATACGAAGTGCACTAAATAATATTTGTGTACATAAAACTTGATATTGATTTAAATGCCCGAAGCTTTCAAACTTATATTTAAAACATATAAAGCGTAATACTTTATGGCTTATAATGCAAATATCAACCCTATTTCGCAACTAAAGTGGAAGTGCAAAAACTTCATTAGTTATTTTTTCACATAAAAATTGCACCATTATAACGTATTTAATAATAATTAAACTTAATATTTCCAATTAGATGTATTTTTCAGAAGGGGTGTACGCCACATATAACAGTTGAAAACCACAACCACAGGGCAAAGCAAGGAGCAAATCAAGTAAGTGAGGTCTGCGCTGCTAAGCCTCGGTTTCTACCGTTGAAGCTTGCTTCTACATGACATAAATCCATATATGTCAACTGTCACGATTAAATTTTTGTTACAACTTATTTAGCTCTTGTTAAGAGCTCCGCTATCAATTTGTTAAATAGCATCCTGGGAATCCTAAAACAAATAAATTTATTTAAAAAATAAATTTTTTTTTTAGCTAAACATAACTACCCTTTATATATTATAAATACAATTACTATTAAACACTACCGTTTTAAATTGTTTCAATGTTTTGCATTTTTTTTATTTAATACAGAATAACTTTTCAATAACGTAGTGGATTAATTTACAATGTAAACTTCTATGTTCTAGCTACATTTTGTTAATACTTGATCTTGAATTGGTTTAATATCCGAAAAGATATGAGATTGTAAAATTGGGAAATTAGTAACAATTTGCAGTAGAATAAATTTAGTTTAGTAAACCAGATTTTAAAATTAGTATAGCTCCCTTTAGTCTGAATCACTGCTTGTACCCTCTTCCGGCATACTGGCAGTCAGATTGTAACAGTGATCCGGTGATAAACTCGCCCACGCTGATTGTACACAAGCCCAAAGCTCCTCTAAGTTAGCAGAAGCTGATTCGTATTCCCTTTCCCAATTATCTCTTTTAAGGTCCCCGGCTTGCTCAATGGGATTGGATAAGGAGCTTGCGGAGGCCAATCTAGCCCCCCGCGCTTAAAACGACTGTGATTGGAGCCATGATTGCATCGGTAGTGTATTGTTACAGACAAGCTCCTGTTGAAAAACCGTTTATCAAGATCAAGGCCTCACCAATCTCATGTTCTAAGAAAGTCATTCTTAATAACGTCCAAATAATTGCTTTGGGTGATTCTCCCAATTCACTTTTTCCAACTACCCGATCCCTTAAATGTTATACAGAGCCAAGTTATTACGATCCTCCCCCATGTTTATACGTTTGCATCACCTAATACCATCTGAACCATATCGATCGATCTGGGGTTCATCCTAAAAAATTACTTTTTCTCAGTCAGAGATGAACCATTTTCGTACTTATTCGCATACTCACATCTTAGTTACTCGGGACGGTCTCTCAAAGCGAGTCTAATTTTAATCAACTTTTTTAATTCGCTTGGAGGCCCGCAGAATGCAATGCTTCCGATACGACCGATATTGAAACTGGTATATCGAATGTTGTTTCTATGACTTTGACGCTTTTTTTTGCAAATACGATTTGCACCCGATGACACTTCTTGTCGTGCAAGTTGACCTGCAACCCGGTTTTTCAAGATCTTCGGACGTCCAGGTTCTTTGCAAGGACGATTTGGATCATATTAAGTCTTTAATGTGAGATAATGTAGCCTTACTGACCCCACATGCACGTGCGGTGTATAAGACTTGCCTTGATCTAAAAGGCTTTTTACAACATTTTTTTATCGAACGAAAGTCTACGCAGTACTAAATTACGGTCTCTAAATAAGCTATTTTTTATAGTCACTAACACTCTGAAGAACCCCCTATATTGGAGTGAAGATTCATATAATCTTGCACAGAGGGGGGTCACGTGCAAAATCGTTTCACTCGAGACTTGAACTTTAAAAGCGTTTAAGTCTAAGTAAGAAAGTAATCCCTATAGTACAAACTACCTTAAATAGATCTTTATCTAAATTTATATAAATCGAAGGGATCAATATAGCCAAATATTAAAAGAGTATAGAATATTAACAAATAGGTAGAACCACTTTAAACGATTGTGTACATGTTTTAAGCAAAAAGAATAGTATAAAGAAAAAGTTTATTAGAAGTTCTTTGAATAATAAATTCTCTACAAAGTGATTAACATGAACTGTTCACGAAAGATGAGGCGAAGTTTAAGTAATAATTCCAAATTCAAAAGTTGCAGGGACAAGGTTTAGTATTTTCACTATCGCTTCCTAAAAAAACATTGCCTTCTCGTTCTTGGCGAATCTCATTCTTTGGGAGACGCCTCGCTAGAAAAAAGTGACAATTAAAACTATTATAGTAATAATCAGATCTACAAAAGTCGAGCTAAAACGAAAATATTCAGGCTTCGATTACTAAACCGTTGTGAAATATAAACCTTAAGTGTAGATATAAGACACAAATCGCCGTAATCTACAAATAATTTTAGTGGTAATACTATTAAAGTGTTATAATTATAAAAGAACTAAGAAATTCAAAAAATATTAATGGGAAAAAATTAAACTTTCCAACTTATTAAAAACTGTTTTAACTTATCGATACAAAAAAGTAAAAGTCAATAAGTTCTTAGTTGTTTTAATAAATAAAATTATTATCAAACATTGAAGTAAAAAAATAATAATTTTATTGATCCTTCGGCTTAAAATAACATACCAATTTCAAGAAAAAGTTCATTCACTTTGGACCCCGTTTTAGCGGAAGTTTCCATAAAAATAATCCCATGCTCACTAGCATAACTCTTATAAATAATAAGAATTCTTTATTTTTAAAAAAAATATATAATTCTCTTAACTTAAAATTATAAGTTAAAGTAAATTATGATTAACTACGAAATTTACACCATAACCAAGAAAGACAAAAAAAGAAGCACACGAAAAATATTTAAATATTTTAAGGTGACTAACTTTGCATAATAGGCACTAATCATATACATAATCTCCATAAGAAAAGCAACACATCTGGATTTCTTTTTCTTTTTTTAAAAATTTATTTAAATTTAAAATACTTGTACTTCCTCTGGGTCAACAATGTGTTCAGAAACATCAGATTTGTTTCCTGCTAGAGCAATAATGATATCTGCGCTCCCTTGACATTGCAATTCTTTAATCCAAGCTTTCGCTCTAGTATAGGTTTCCTGTTAATTAAATTCTATTTTAAAAAAAATTTAAATGTATATATATATAAGGGTTCAACTTAAGGGATAGCTAGTACAAAAGGTTTTAGAAAAAAAAAATAGTAACAAACAGTAAGTTACATAATTTGATACGTCATAAACCACGATAGCGCAAGGAGAATTTCGGTAGTACATAGGAGCAAGACTGTGATATCTTTCTATACAAAAAAAATTACTATTTTGCCTAAAAATTGTTAATAATATTTAATAAAATTTTAACTACAAAATTAAATTATCTACGTTGTTTCTAACATAATAAAACACACCTTGCCCGGCGGTATCCCAAATTTCAAACTTGACAGTATAATCGTTAAAGCGAACGGTTTGAGTGAGAAATGCAGCTAAAAAAATTTTTAAAAAAAGGTAAATACGTGTAAAGTAAATTTTTTTTTTTTTCTTGAAAAAACCTCCAATAGTTGACTCTTGGTACTCATTAAAGTCTCCTTTGACAAACCTGGATACGAGAGAAGACTTACCAACGGCTGACTCCCCTTTTTTAACAGGTTAAATCAATTAGTTTTAAATGAGAACCATAGGAAAAACAAAGAAAACAAAAATAAATTAAATAATATAATAACCAAGCAGAACAAGTTTAAAAGTAAAAAGTTTTCCCTTAGAATTATGTCTCCCAGTCATGTCACCACGGAAGGGTCTATGACGTAGATGTAAACTCGATGGGAGTCTTTAAATTACTTAGAGTATTTTTACTACCACAAAGGAGTCAGGGGCCACACTTTAGTGCGTGGAAATTAGTGTCTGATAAGGTTATGGCTCGCGCAACGTTGCGGACAACTCAGTTGTGCAGCTTAAAAAAACTAATATTTTGAACAGTTTACTTATTAATTTAGAATATCTTAATAGTGAGTAACCTCTACCCTACATCCTAATAGCAGCTATTAGTCAGTAAATTTTATTAAATTATATAAAAAGCTGTTACCCACTTGTAGCTTGCTTGAGCTATAGCAAACTGAATAGGTTAGCGATATGAATGGTATCGTTAGGAGTACTAGGATTCCTTAAACATTTATTTAATAAAAAGTTTTGTGTTTGCCTTCTATGCTAAAGTTTAACCACTTTTATAAAAGAATTTAGACCTTAAGCTACGTTTTAAATCTATCACTACTTTTGATGAAGTAGTCTGGCTATATAAAGCCAAGGCTTTTGAAAGTTTGTTTTTAGACAGACTGCTCTTAAGCCATTAAAATAGCAACTATGCTTGTTTCAAAGGGGATTAAGACATTGGAGAGCTTGTTTAACCACAGATGCTATTTAAACATTTACTGCTTTGTTTATCTTATTTCTGATAGTAAAATTCCCTTATTGCAGCCTATGCAGTCATTTATTTTAGTTTATAAATTTATATTTTTATTATCAGTCTTTAGTTATTGATTCTTGATATTTTATTTTTTGTTGTAATAAAATTTATGTACTACAATTGTTGCAATGAATTTAAACTAGTGAGATACTTCCTTTTTAAAGCGCTTTTTCACATTTTACTTGATATGTAGAAGGTTTTGTCTTTATTTTCAAGGTTAGTTTATCTAATAAGCAACTAAAAATTAATTCACAATATGGGTAAATCCGTTACGTCTTAGTTAAGAAAACCTTTTAACACTACCTAAACACTTTGAGACCTTTAGTGTTTACTTAAGCAAGAGTTAATTTAACTTTTGTATTCTGTGTAAAGACAAAATTAATTCTGTGTATTTGTGCATTGAGTTATTTAATGCATACATATGGGCATATATATCCTATTTTTTAAATGCATATAGCTTTATTAAGTTGATTTTATAATAGAGTTATCATATAAAATAAACAACTTTTTAAAGTCCAAAAAAAAACATGCCTGAGATTTAACAATTGCCAACTTTAGGAAAACTTATGTTGCCTTACGTACACTCGCTACTTTAATATCAACAAAAGCATAATAATCATGGCTGCTGTAACCCTACTTTGCTAGTGCATGCGAATATCGGATCGCTATAAGTTATACTTTTAAAACTTGAAGACTACCGCACATTCTTGTAAAAAATACTAAAAGTAATGGGTTTGTTTAAACTAGAAGTAATAAGAAATATATATATAACTCTGATGCGAAGCTGAAGTAAACTTTAAATTTATAATAAACTTTTACTGAATTCATTAGGTTAAAAGTCCCATAGCCCGCATTCTCACCTCCTTTACATCCCCCCTTAAAAGCTCCAGAAAGCTTTACAGTAAATAAGCGATCCGCTAATTTGTATTTTAATCAAAGCTTGAAGAAAAGAAACCGTCACTCCAGACTAATTAAGTAGTGCACCATCGCGCCTAGGCACCAACCTGTTTAAAAATGCCTCTTTTCAGAGTAAGGAAGAACTTATCAAGAAGGAAAGCACCGGTCTCGAAGCCGTTGAGTTTCCGGGTAATGTGCAACTGCTGGTCGTCAGAAAACCCCAAGTGAGACAGGAGAGCGTATATATACAAGTTGTCTAAGCACAGAAATCGGGCGTCCCCCTCTGCGAATAACCAAGCAGACCCGTTGGCGCGCCACCAAGGCTAGTGGCGAGCGGCAGTACCTTTAAGGACGGTGTAGGTCGACTTGACTGCATCCTCCTTCAAGCCGCACACCTGCAAAGTGTGAGGTGAAGGAGGAAGTCTTCAGAACAGTGAGGGACCTTCTCTGCAGCATCCTTATAAGCCCGAGGGGCTAACATGGTACGGTGATCCTTTAGCAACCCTGTGAAGGCCTTGTAAGTAGAACAAACATCGTATAAGAATATCGCTCTACTGAGATCAGCGGCTCGATCATAGTAAAACGAAAAGGCATGAAAACGTCTGTTGGTAAGCACTGGTTGGAGTGCGCCGTCTACCAGGCATCTAGCTTTGTTTACTTGACAAGTTACCGTTTATAAAAAAATAAGTACTACCTGTACAACGGGTCTTGGTTTACGCATTCCTCTTTTGTTTGAAAAAAGGAAGAAACTATAAACTGCTCACATTTCTCATTGTTGCCAAGAACATCTTCAAAAAATACATAAACTTTACTCAAAGTTCACTATAAGCATTTATATATAAAAAGGGAAACCTTTTCCGCCCATGACGGTTACATTTTCCCACACACCTTTATAGTATGGAAGCACGCAAACGCCTGAAGAATTGGCATTTAAAAGTACAGCTTTACGGGCAGAATAAAGCCCTGAAAAAATAAAGTAAGGTGAAAACTACCCAAGAAACAAAGAGGGAAGCATACCGTATCCTGGGATGCTGTGAGTGTATACAGCGTACGTTTGATTGCCAAAGCGATGCTGCTTAACACGGCCCCCCAAACCCTTAGAAATAGTAGGCTCCACTGCAAATGCGATCTGATTCGAAGGTAGGCCAGAAGACCAGTAAGCGGTCTTCCACCGAAGAAACCTGAGTAGAACCGCCGCCAAGGTCGAGAATTCCGCAGGTGGGCTCGCTGGATTGTCCAAGAAAGCCCTCCAAATAATTAACGGTGACCCAAGCAAAAAGTCCTTATATAGTTTAAGCCTTAGAAGTATACAAAATCTAAACAGAAATATTATAAGACCTTCATCTCCACCGTCTAATATAGAAACTTGATTGTTCTCGTCTGAGAAAGAAAAAGGTTGCTTACGAAAGAGGTTACGAACCTTTTTTCAAGGTAATAAACATTGTAAGAGTAAGAAGGAATGAAAAGTTCACCTCATCTAAAATTTTCTGGGCTTCTTCTTCTCCAATTTGGCGCAAACCTTAATTATAAAGAGGATTTCAAAATCATAACGAACTCTCAATCTTAACATATAAGGAATTTAAACTATAAAGAAATAAACTACACCTGCCGTAGCCTTAAGTAGAAGAGGAGTTTCCCTTTGATATTTTTCAGGAATGAAGGCTTTAGCACAGTCGAGTAAAGGTAACAGAGAGTCAGCAGCCTGCAAAAAGGCGTGTCGACAAGAAAATACAAAGTTGTGTTAAAAAAAATACATCCACAGCGGAATTATAAGAAGAAAGACCAGGCTCCACTTCCTTATAAAATTCTTCTTTCAGTGATAAGAAAGAATCTTCTTCAAATATATTAAAAAAGAAAGTAGATTGGACTGAGTAAAGTAAAGCTCAGTTCAACTATTTGTAATAACCTTTTTGAAATTTATATACATGAATTCTGCTTCCGGAGCTGCCAGCATCGAAAATAATACCATATAAGTACTCTAAATGGTTACAAGAGGAAACACTCTTCAGCAACGAAAAATAAGTGGGCCACAAAAAAAGAAGAAGAAGGGGAGTCGCACAAAGAGCTAAAATCATAGCCACACGGAAGAGCTGCGACGGTGAGCGTATTGCCATTATCACATTTGTCTAACCATAAAAGAGTATTAAGCGTACATCCAGGTAGGCTTCGCAGTGGTACACACTTTAAACAAGGAAAGCAATAGGTCAATAACTGAGTTGATTGGATTATTACAGCATGAACTTTAGAACTGCCAATAATAGCTACATTAGGTTACTGCAGGTAAAATTAGGCGATTATAGCCTAATGTTGCTAAACTTGGATACAGCTACTATACTCAAGGTCTAGCTTTAAATGTTGCTTATATTTTGTATCTAAATCTACATATTAAAAACTTTATTTAAAAGCCGATATTAAAGGCTTATAGAAAATTTACATATATGAAAAATATAAGAAACAGAACTTAATTTTACTTATAGTAAAAAAAAAGCAAAGAGCAAAGAATACGTTATCTATCACTCGACTCGAACCGTTTACATGTTATTGAGCTGTTAAGGAATACAGTAGATCGTAATTTATAAAGAAGGCCAATATATGACAAATAAAATATCAACAGAAGTAGGGGGAGACCAAGCTATGATAATGAAAACTCATATTATATTACTTCTAGTCCCAATGTTTATGCTAAAAAGCTATACCACTAACTACCAAATTAAATAGAACTAATTTTTGAATTTAATTAAGGTTAAGCAACCTTTTTGAAGGTTATCCAACTAATGAATATAGAATTTCTTAGAAAATCTATTCAAATCCGTAATCCTCCAAACAATTTTGCACGTGAGCTTTATCGTAACGCAAATTTTTACTTTGGTGTATCTTTTTGTGGTATTAGTAAATTTAATTTAATTCTTAGTTCTTCTAATAGATAGGTAATTGCTATTACTTATATAAATTCATTAAGTTATGGTCTATTAATCTCAAGAACATCAAAAAAGAAAGTAGGTTGTTTTAAGAGTAATTACAGAAGTGTGCTTTTTTTTAAAGGCCTACAACAATTGTTTGCGGTTTCTAGAGGCTTCTGTAGAGAAGACATTTAACAGTTTAAGAATGCTAAAATTGCTAACTGGCCTAATAGCAATAGTGATAAGCTTTAATATATATGATTCAACAAAGAAAATTTATTTATTTGTGGAGATATCAAGAAACCGTTAGTCCCTAATAGGGTCGTGGAATGCGCATGAAAACTTGTACGAACACTGAAGTCCTACGATAATAATAAATTTAATTTGCGTTAGCTTAATGACTGAATAAATAGGCTCTGACTTCTTGGTGAAACATAATCAAGCATTAAAAAACCTCTCACCCCTAATCTGGGAAAAATTAAGTTGTTGGTCTCTTTTCTACATATTAATATCTATTTATTTTTTAAATCAATAAAAAAAAAATTTACAAAATGCTTAATGTATTCGTCCACTGACAGTTATAGAGCCATAAAGCACCAAGTTATTAAAAATTTCTTAGTTTATTTTTTATCAGTAATGCATTTGATATCCACCTCCACCTCCATCGAAATCTTATAACTTAAAGGTAATATTTTCATGTGTGTGAACATAAAGCCTTCTTTTACGATAAAGTGGCAAGTTTCGCATCCTCCGCAGTGGTAACAAAACAAGCTTTTGCGGTTGAGGATTTACACGCCCTACTTCGTGAGCAAAGACACGACGCACGATGACCTGACTTCAAAACGATTTAAAGTCTATTTTTTGAAAGGTAACTACTGTCTCGTTAAAATGTTTTTATCCTCAGCATCAGCACCAGTGGGTTCAAGAAGTTACACACGAACCATGGAAAAGCGCACGTTTCGACGGCCTCCTGATGCACTTTGAATGCACGCAGATTTATATATGACCTTTGCTAATTAGTCTAATCTATTAGCCAAACTAAGCAGTCTGCGCTCGATTTTACCGAGGATAAATCATTAATAAAAAAAAGTGGCAAGCTTTTGCTTTTCTGCTGTTGGTCTTTTTGTTCCCCTATTCTTTGCGTTAGCAGATACAGTTAGTCGATTTAAGATATATTGTGTACTGTCAGTCGGTTATTATAAATAATTTCTTTTAAAAAAAACTTTTATGTAGTAAAAAAAAATACTATTTAAGGCAATAGCAACTATATTAAGAATAAAAATAACAACTTTATTTATACTTGTAATAGCAGTAGTAAAAACAGTAATAATAGTAATAATTTCATTGACCATTATATTAATAGCATTAGTTTCAACAAAAACAATAGTAATATATATAATATAATGAGAACTGTAGTCATAACAAGTAATAATTGCAGTGCTAGAGAAGCTATATGAATAATATTAACAGTTCTTCTGCGTTATGAAACCCAGATTGAACCAGTTATTAAACCCCAAAAAAAACGTGACAATCCTAATGCCTCTAAAAATTTTTAGGCGACATACAGGCTTTAAGCATTGCACAAGCTTTTTACATGAAAATATATTTGAATTTTGTTGCTATCGATTACCAAAAAATGGAGAGATGGCATCCTTAAAATTATTAATACAAGGTAGACATTAAAGAAAGAGAAAACAAAATAATTTGCCTTTTATACACGATCAGTACATTGTGTCATCTCGGTGTAGCTTCACAAAAGAGCAGACATATAAGCTAATGCCAGCAATGAAAGTCTGTTAAAATATAAAAGGTGCAGATCCTTATTAAAGTATCCGAAGTGTGCAGGAAAGTAATTGACATTTAAGACAATAAATAGCAAGAAGCAGTCACTTGTTGCCTATATGGCTGGGAAAACAAGTTTCTAACCTTGTTGAAAACAGAAAAAAGAACTCTTTAGCAGTCATTAGAAACGATAGAAACGCGAGTCTTTATAAATTAAAATATAGTTAACAACAACTAAATACAGTCCCGTTAGAAAAATTTTAAAATGGTATAAAGAAGTACAATACGTATCAGAAAGACTATAAGCAGTTAATGTTTTACTATCCGTTTTTTAGGCCAAAAATATTAAACTATGAACGAAATTATTAAGTTGAGGGTACAGAAATGATTAGCTGGATTGCAGTTGGGCTCTTAATGATTGTCCCTTGTATTTGCCAAAGATAACTTCTCTTCAGTTTTAATACCAACGTAGCCTATCGTATAAATCTCCTTTTGAATAAAACCATATAACATAAACCCGTTTTCGTGGTTAGCAGGGTTAACATTTTCTACGAAAGATGTATTACTAACATCTCTCTTAAGAATGGAAATTGTGTCCTACAGGCTTTACACAACTTATGATTTATCCTTGCTACTTCAGTCTTTACCTTATTTTATACTTGTGAAAAGTTTATTTTTTAAGAAAATTTGTTATAAGGTTTAATGAAACACTTTCAAAACACCATTTTTATAATATTGAATAAATAGCTCTTTCGTTAAGTCCAACCCATCTGCGAACCGATAAAACTGGAAATTTTACGCTCTCATATAAATTTCAAGTTTATGTCAGACGAGATAAACTTAGATATTTATACAAGTCTTCATGATATTAGATGTTTTGTGACTTTAAATAAGGTTGCTCTTGGAATCCGTTTCTACACTGCTAGGATTAGTTTTTAATTACATTAGTGCTCGTTTAAGTTAGTCGGTTCGTTATTTATTTTTATATTTATTATTATTTGAATGCTTTGCATAAAGCAAAGTGCTGGATAAGAACCACGGAAAAGCTTTTTTTGTTGGCCGCTCCACAATAAGATATTTTACTTGGTGCCCGCCCTTTTTTAAATTAAAATTTTTCTACATAGGTAAAGTTTTTTCGTTATTCTTATTGTTTCCTTATCCACGGTTAATTCTCTGAGGCCAGAGCTCATCCTTCCCCTAATATATTTCCTTTTTTATATCAAACGTAATAGCATCTATTCATTAATTTTATAGTATTAACTTATAAAAGAACATAACTAATTAAACAATCAGGTATGCAGTCCTATACCCGTTCGGTTTATATGCTGATCACTTACTTTTTGGACTTCGCTTTCAAGTTGCAGAAGACGATCTTATTAAACAATTCTGCTCTGGGCTTCTTTCGTTCGACTCGCTGGAATACGCCAACATCAGATGGTTTGCTTTAGTATTTATAAAAAAATGAGAGCTTGCGCTGATTTTTTTTAGGTCGTTTCATCGGAAAGTCGTGATAGAGGAAAACTTGCACACTTCGCAAACTCGACTGCCTCAATACACTTTCAAGTAAATCTTAATAAGTTCATTTTTTGGTTTACTTCCAGACCTTAGGTTTGTATTCTTACAATTTCAAGGCTGCGAAGAACTGTATATACAGATCAAGCAATTATATATAACATAGACCGTACTTTTATGAAAAAATCTAGTAACTGTTAAGAAAAATAAGTGACATTTCTTCATAAACTATCCTGCTAGCGTATTAAGTTTTTCCCTACCTCATATATCCTTGTTCCAGCACATAAGCTTATTTTTTCGAGTGGTACCCCGCTACAACTTCTATAACCACATAGTAGCGAATTAGCCAATCAAGGATCACACTAAAGCCCCTCATTAAAAGTACTAATTTGGCGATTGTTAAGATCAGATTAAATATACCCAAGTAAATTCGTTGGGGATTCAACCGAGGACCACTGACGAAAAAGTTGTGAAGGGTGAAAATTGCAGACTTTGCTTTTAAAATGAACTAACTATTATCATCTTAGTACATGTGCTTCAGTAATAATTGGCTTCTATAAACTTAGAGTTAACTAATTTCCGGCCGGTTTTTAAGGTTTGATTATCTTAGCTACTTAACATTATCAGCGAAGCGCTTTCAACTTTTTAAGCCCATTAAAGAAAATAGAAATTAACTTTACGCGAGCATATTTGTGAGAGCCATTAACCTTGATGTTTGGGTGTGGTTGCACTAGGATCTGCAGATATAAAAATACTTGTATTAACACATCCACTCGACTCACCTTAAATAACTTTTGTAACTATCATCAAAACCTGCTTTGCCTTAATGCTGCCAATCGCCAACGATTAGTCTCTCAGCCGAACAAATACAGGCGAGTGAACTTTTGACGGCGCGATGATACCCTTGGTAGCCCATGCTG